CATCATGCTGTGCGGTGGCTCAGCGTCCAATATCGGGCCCTAGCGTCGCTCCTGGATTCGAACCAAGGTGACACTCCTCAGGCGAAGTCGCTGACGACGCTGCTACAGGAGCCTCCGCAGCAGGTGGAAGTTTCTGCTGCCCTTCGGCCTCTCTTTGAAGAGGTTGCCCGTGCTGTCGCCGAGCCTTGTCGGGATCTCATTGTGGGCAGTTGTTTCGAAGCGGCTCTTCGGGACAAAATTGATGTTGCGGTCAGCAATGCTCAGTCTGCTGCCAAGAAGAGATCCCGTCAAAGCTGGCAAGCTTGGATTCGCGCTGGCCTTGACGAGGGAGCGAAGAGAGTTCACATGTTCACCAGGGACCCGTCACCTTGGAAGGCCACCACCACCCTTTCGGCTGATGGCACCCTTGTGTCTGATCCCCTGGCGCTCTTGGCTTCGGAAGGTTTCAAGTTTGCCGCCTTCTGGGGCAAGGGCGCTGGAGCCTCTAGAGGTCCCCCGTCGCTTGGGCCGACGCTTCCGAGGGTTTCGGCCGACGAAATCAGGGAAGTCTCCAAGAAGTACAAGAGGGGTTCTGCGGTGGCCTACGATGGCTTTAGTTGTCGTCACTTCCAGTACTTGTGTGATGATGCGTTGAACTCGCTCGCCGTCTTGTTTGAAGTTATGGAAGCGCTCGGCGAATTGCCCGAGCAGATTTCTGCCGTGCTGCTCGCTCTTCTCTCGAAGCCCACCGGTGGCTACAGGCCTATAGGGGTGTTCTGCTCCTGGCACAGGGTGTGGGGGGAAGCTGCGGCGCCCCTTCGCCCTCGCCTGGGAGCAAGAGCACCCCCGCAGGTACTGGGCTGCTGGTGGGCATCGAGGTGCTGCCGACGTTGTTTGGAGGCAGTCTGTTCGGGCTGAGCACGGCACTGCGTCGAATGAGGTTTCGTGTAGTGTGTTTTACGATATGCTTAAGTACTACGAGACCATTGATCTTGCCAAGTTGATGTCCCAATGTCAGCGACACGGTTTCCCCTCCCCGATTGCGCGCCTTTGCATCTTTGCCTTTCGGTGTGGCCGTTTCCTGTCCCTGGGTGGCATCCTCGCGGGCCCCTTTTTTGTCGAGCGAGGTGTGGTGGCAGGCTGCAGTTTCGCCACCACCCTCATCAGGGTCTTTGCCCTTGACGCGTTCGACTCCATTCCCTTGTCCCCCAGATGTGATTTGGACATTTACATCGACGATTCGGGGATTTCTGCGACGGGCCCTCGTCACCGAGTTATTACCTCTATTGTTGCCAGCTCGCAGGCCTTGCACACGGCAGTGACCGACATGCTTGGCTGCAGTTTCGCCCTGTCCAAAGTGTGCACGGTCTCCTCTAATAGGGCGGTGGCCGGTGAGGTTGGCAAGCAGCTTGGCAGTCTGGCAGGTAGGATCGAGGATGTCACTGTCAACTTAGGTGTGGACTACACGGCGGGCAAGTCCATTCGAGCCTCAGGTCGGGCTAGTAAGCTCAAGTCGAGGCTGGCTACCATGTGCCGTCGAGCCAAGAGGCTCAAGAGGCTTTCGGGTGATCTTGGGAGAAAAACTCTGCGGGTGTTTTCCTCTGGCCCCCTTGCGGGTGTCTCCTACGGGGCTGACATTGTGGGTGTCTCTGACAATGATCTTTTATTGATGCGGAGGCAAGCCTTCTCGACGGTGCGGCCGTTTTCTCAGGGCAGGAGTCCCACTGCTTGCTGTATTTTAGCTGGAGATCCCACCTGGAGGGCGGCCTGCGCGCCTGTGCTTAGGTGGGGAAAAGAAATATGGCTTGCTCAGACTAAGGTCTTCCCGCACTCCCTGGCCCTCAAGGAGCTTAGAGATTCTTGGAATGCCGTCTGGGGCCTTAGCAGGATCAGTTGGGGTCTCGTTGGGGGTCCTGTCTCTGCCCTCAGGCTTTGTCTGGTCAGGTTAGGGTGGCACATGGACAATTTCATGACCATTATTGATGACAGAGGGTACCACATCCCCCTCGGCGTGACCTCCCCTGCCCTCTTGTGTATTTTTTGTCGGGAAGGTATGATCAGAGCTCTGGAGAGGGATCTGGGCGGCAAATGGGCGTCTGGAGGCCGCCTTTGCTTGGATGTCCCCCGTGCTGCTCTGGCGTCTAGCAAGTTCTCCCAGTGAAAAAGGTATGATTCGTGCTCTGGCGTGTAACGCCATCTGGACTCCTGATCGTGCCATTGCATGTGGATATAGAGTTTGTTCTAAGTGCATCCATTGTGGTGAGGCAGACTCGTTGCACCATCGGCTGCGGGCCTGCCCGCATGTGAGCGATCTGAGAGCGGAGCTTGCTAAGGACTGGATCATTGCTGCCGCCCGTGACACTGAGGCTGAGGACTACTCGGACCTCCTTTTCTGCTTCGGGGCTTTCGCCCATCCCGCCGATGCCCTTCCGAGGCCGTGCCTCGAAGGCAATGTGGTGTTCCGCTGGCATCGTGATCTGCTCGAGGGCCCCGAAGGCTTCGAGGCTCCCCAGGAAGGTGCTGTCTGGGGGTCGCTGTTTCTCGACGGGTCTTGCAAGCGGCACATAATTCGGGAGCTCAGCCGTGCGTCGTGGGCCATCACGATGCACAATGACAGCGGGGATCTTTTAGGTGAGGTTATGGGGCCTGTGTGGGCCCAATACCCTCAGACCCCGCAGGCTGGAGAATACGTAGCGCGTGGCATGGCTGGTAATATGGCCAAGTACCCTTCCACCCTGTTCTCTGACTGTTTGAATGTGGTCAAGCATTCTGAGTTGCCTCCTGGCGATCGCCTCTCGGGTAAGAGGGTGTACAGTGGCATAATCATGGGAGCCAATGCTCGAGAAGGCACGTGCATTCAGGATATTGTTAAGGTTTCCGCTCACAAGGATTTAGATGAAGCTGGCATCGACCAGTTCGAAAGGTTTTGTCGCAAATGCAATAATGATGCGGACGCGGCGGCCAAAACCGCGCTGTCGTTTCATGCGTCAGATATTAATGAGAGTGAAGATCTCAGCAAGAAGATTGACATTGCTAAAGCAGTGTGTCGGCTAGGGGCCAAGCTTCTCTTAGAGTGGCCCCGACTGGATTTATCTGATGCCGATTATATTCCGCCAGCCCCCAAGACCAGGTTTTCCTGGGACAAGCCTGGGCACGACTGGGCCCCTTGGTCTGGTGTGTGGCGCTGTAGAGTTTGTTTGTTGGGTTCCAGGGGATCTGGCGTCCCTGATCCTGGCATATGCTCTGGCAGGTGCAAGCTTGATGAAGGTGTGCTGGTGTCACTGCGGCATCGTGTTTTGGCCTTCTCCTGCAGTGACGGTTCACATCTTTTTGTTTGCGTGAAGTGCCGCTACCACAGCACAGGTGCTCGTGTGGACGGCCTAGGGAAGGCGTGTAAGGATCGGCCCTCCAGGAACGCCGAGTATTCTTGGAGGCACCTCTGTCGAGGAGTGCACCCGAACCCCAGGAAGCGAGCTGTGACGGTGAATACTCACCAGATCTGTGCCCTTTTTGGTTCTCAGGCCGAGGAGGCTCCCTCGTGCCACAGGGCCGTGGAGGCCCCAGCTGGGAACCACATGGCGGAGGAGGAGGTGGCCCCCCCTTCCTCGGTCGAGCCTCCCCCCCCCTCGGAGGAGGAGGTCCGTCAGGCCTGTCAGGCCCGAGAGCTCAGCGTCTCCTCTCAGTCCCTCCGCCGTCTCCAAGCCGCTCGGAGTGGCGGTGAGGAAAGGAGGGTCTTGGATGCTGACTCGGGTTCTTCTGACTAATTTTATCCTGCCACCCTTTGGCTCACCTCCTTGCCTCAGTGGCATGGAGGACGCAGCAGCGATTTCCCAGCCGTCGCTGCTGACAGGTGAGGCTGTGCGGGCGTTGAGCTCAAAAAAAAGCCATCCAGGAGGCCTCTTGGGGGCCTCTTGGTGGCCTCTCGGGAGCCTCTTAGGGGGCCTGGCGGTCTCGGGGGCCACCTTGGGGTAGAGGGCCCCAAATGTCAGCTTGAGTTCTTTGTCTTGGGCCCCTCTTTGGGCCCCACTTGGGCGCCAATCGAGCCCCTCTTGGGCCCCTCTTTGAGGCCCTCTTTGGTCCCTCTCACGGATCTCCTGGGAGGCCTCCTGGGCCGTCTTGGACGCCCTCAAGACCGAAAAGGCAAGTCCGCGACAACAGCGGAAGCACCTCGTGGATTTGTCATTGATTTGGGCTTCTTGCGCTGGCCCCAGGGCTCCCGAGAGGGCTCCAGGACCAACTTGGAGACCATCTTAGGGCACGCTAGAGATAAACGTCCCAAGCTACGCTCCCGAGGCGCCCGGAACAGTCACGCGGCGAACCCCGAGAGTTCAGAGGAGGAAGCGACACCGATGCCGCTACCGCCTTTGAGGCCTCCCCCGGGAGGCCCTCGTCGCCACGGTGGATTCGCTGCGAAATCTTGATCAGAACGCATCCCGAGAGATGTCCAGGGAGTGGCGGTATCGGGATTTGCTGGTTTCCCAGGGAGATCTGGCAATAGGGGGACTGGGTCCCTCGAGGGAAGCGTCTGCAGTGTCAACAGCAGGGAGCTCCAGGGGACCGAGGACACTCCACTCGGCGTCTCGCGGCTCGGTGGCGAATCTCCACGGCTCGTACCGTGGCCAGGAATCGACCGCGGCAGATCTTTGCGGAAGAAGCTCTGGTAGATGCAGCATGGCGGCGTTTTTGTTGGGATATCCCAGTAGCACGGCGAAGGGAACCCGCAAGTCGTGATGTTCCAACCTACTCTAGCCTTGATCACCAGAAGAAAATCGGGCACCAGGAACGTACCGAAACTGGAGGGTTTTCACGTGTCGGGCCCTGGGAGGCGATACTCGTTCGACGTTGTTGCGATATTTCTTTGGGTGCTCGAAATTATCTCTGGGATCTGGTCCTTAAGAACGGAGGGAGCCATATAGCGCACAAATGTGTTATCGTCGTGGCTGGGAGGCAGGCTCGGTACTTCCTGCAACGCAGGGTGTGCTCCGTCTATGGCTTGGCTTCGCCGCGCGTGGCGCGACGAGGCCTACGTCCACCTGACCGCCGACTACGACGCCCTGGACGTGGCGAACCGCATCGGGATCATCTGAAGCAGAAAACACTGGCCCAGCATCGAAGAAGAAGAAGAAGAACCGCCATAAACATAAACTTTTGGCGCTCCGCGCGGGTTTCTTGGATCCGCGCTAGGCCCCACCAGCGGCGCCTCCAGCGCCGCCCCTGGCGCGCTCCGCGCGCCAGGGAGGGGGGGCCCACCGCAGATCCAAGAAATTCGCGCAGAGCGCCACAAGTTTGTGTTTATGCCGTTTCTCTTCTTCTACATTGGCCCAGCAGTAGAGATTTGGACAGGCTGGACAACCAGACGCCTCTTGACCGTGACCGTGTGTGGGTCAGCGCGGTCTGGCGTGCGTCGATGGGACTACCAATTACTGCTGCCTTGACCTGCTCGTCCTTCGCCCGTTGCTTTGCTTTGTCAGCCAGAATGGCTTACGTCGCTACAACTGGGCCAGGCTCCCATAGCAGACCAGGAGGATCATCACATGCCCTCTCTATCCGCTTGGAGATCGACCGAGCGATCACAATGTAACGATGCGATCTGCAGCAAGCAACAATTTCAGCGAGCAGATAGTGTTCATCTTAGCGTGCTTCTGGGGACACGCAACAGGTTTCCGAGGCACCCAGAGACCCCTTCAACGTTCGGGCATGGAGCAGTTTCGCCATCCTGAAAGTAGCAACGACAGCTCCTGTGCATGGGCCTCCCAGCACTGGGCGCGCGCCAGAGCACTATCTACCTATGTGCAACCATCGAAAGGTTCTAGCGAGCCATAGAATACCGTTTTTTATCCCCTGGCGATAACGGGCGTGACGAGGGGGGAGTGGGGGAGGGGGGCGGCCGCGTCACGATTGGCGCTGGCGCCGTCTAGGAATGCCTCAGACTTGACAATTCCCAGACGGCGCTGGCGCGGTTCGTGACGTGACGTGACCAGGGGGGGCGGGGCCGGTCACGGGCGCTGTCGCGAATCATTGAAAGTGGGTTCTGGTCGATGCTTGGAGAGTGATCAAGAAGGCTGGGTGTGCAGCAAGTCCATTCCTCAGCCACGGGCGCACGGCGATCTCGAGCGAGCGCGGCTCTGGCGCGGGCGCGGCCGTGGCCGAAAATGCGCCGCCCAGGAGGCGAGGAGGTTGGGGGGGAGGAGGAGAACAAGGGCGAGGGCGAGGACGAGGACGAGGAATGAGAGGAGGAGGAGGAGGAGGAGGAGGAAGAGGAGGAGGAGGAGGAGGAGGAGGGGGAGGAGGAGGGGGAGGAGGTGGAGGGTGGGGATCTCGTGTCGTCTCTCTTCGCAAGTTGCCGCGGCCGTCGCCACCGACTTCCCACCCCCTACGGGCACGATTCTTACCCGCGCCGTGGCCCTGTCAAGAGGCCAGGTCTGGTAGCACCACCTTTCCAATGTCCCGGGGCCTTTGTCCGCGTACTGCTCTCCGCCATTGTCCGGGGGCAACGATAGGGGGGGATGGGCACAGGGGGGGATGCGTCGACCCCCAATCGCCCAATGATCGCCGATAGGGGCCCGATGGCCCCAGCCTGCACAGGAAGGTGTGGATTCACTATCGGGGGCCCATTGCCGATCTATCGGCGATGTATCGCCGATTCCAGGTCGATGCAGTCCTCCCTATGCCAGTCCCCCCCTATCGTTGCCCCTCAATGCGCCGCCCAGGAGGCGAGGAGAGTGGGGGGGAGGAGGAGAACAAGGGCGAGGGCGAGGACGAGGACGAGGAATGAGAGGAGGAGGAGGAGGAGGAGAAGGAGGAGGAGGAGCAGGAGGAGGAGGAGGAGGAGGAGGAGGAGGAGGAGGAGGAGGAGGGAGCCTCGGAGGAGGGACGTGCCAGCCGCCGCGCGGAGTGCGCCGTGCCGTTCGCGCGCCCCGCTGTGCGGACCTGTGCCCTCCTCCGCCTCCTCCTCCTCCTCCTTCTCCTCCTCCTCCCTGGCCCCCCCCCCCCCTCGTCCGCGCACCTTCCTGGGGCCGGGGGGAGCTAAGGCGCCGCTCGTAACATCGCCAAACATGACGACCTGAGCGCTCGATATCATGTTTCTGCTACATCTGTCCAGCCTGATCAATATGTGATGGTCCCGGGGTTCGACAAATGTAGAAAAGACGCCCAGTGTGAAAAAGTGCAGCGGATGGATTTCAGGGCAGCAAGAGGGCGGCGGAAGCAAGCGCACTGACAAAATTACATTGTCGAATGTCTGGAAGAGGAGGAGGAGGAGGAAAAGGAGGAGGAGGCGGAGGAGAATAATAATAATAATTAGAAGAAGGAGAAGGAGGAGGAGGAGGAGGAGGAGGAGGAGGACGAGGAGGAGGAGGAGGAGGAGGAACAGGCGCAGGAGGAGGAGGCGGAGGAGGAGGAGGAGGAAGAGGAGGAATGGAATGGAATGGAAATCCGCAAGGGAAGCAAACGACAGGAAAAAGACAGGCTCGGCGCCCCCGCCGGAGCCGCTGAGAGGCTAGCCCCCGCGCGTAGCCTCACCTACTCCTCGATGTCGGAATCGTCCTCCTCCGTGGCCCTGGCGCGCCGCCGCTGGCGCCAGCGATTGACGGCCGCCTCCACGTCTTCCTCGTTCAAGCCGTATGCTGCCAAGATCTCAACCCTGGTCAGCATGCGCCTGGGCGCCCCCCTCCCCATCTGGGGTCCGACCGTGGGCCCTGCCACTGGTGCGCGGCCGAAGTCTGGCCCCAGGCACGCGGCGAGGTCCGCCGAAGTTGGCTCCCGCAGCGTGGAGAGCACCCACGTTCGGCACTGCCGATGCCCCGGGTGCCGGCCGTCAGCCAGGCGGGCTCTCTGGCTCTGGAGCGTGGTTGTGGTTGCCCCGTGGCACGTGCCTGCCAGGTTGCGGGCGTATCTCGTGCCATAGGCTCCGCACCTCAGGCACGCCACCAGGGTCTGGGGCGGGCGGCCCGGAGCGGTGGCCTCGGCAGCCCGGAGCTGATGCGAAGCCGCTCCGGATCCTTTGCGTGCCGCCCCTCTGACACCGCCGCCGTCGACAGCCGCGGGCCCACCGCTGGCTTCGGCGTGCGCGGTGCTAGGGCCGTCGCCGACGACCAGCTCCACCTCGGCGCCGCCCTCTGGCTGCCCCTGCGGCCGGGCCTCCAAGCCATCGCAGTCCTTGGTGCCCTCGTCGGCCAGGACCGCGTGGAGCTCCCCTGACCAGCGCGCGGCCTCCTGGGCGATGTCGTACAGCGTTAGCGTGAGCTCCTCAGCCTCCGCGGGCATGCTGTGGCACTCTGCCCCGTGCTTGGCCCACGTGTCGGCGGCCGCGTTGCCGGCGCGCTCCCAGTGGGTTGTCCTCCCCGCAGCGACGTCGGCGTGCGTGGCGTGAGCGAGGACTTTCGTGACTGTGAAGTCCCCGAGCCCGAAGGAACCCCAGAATGGGCCCCACAGGTGTGCCCGCTCGTCCCCTGAGGAGTCCCCTGGCCCGCGCCTGAGAGCGGCCACGGTCCCAGCACAGTCAACGAAGAGGTCGAGGTGCCCCAGTGCAACCAGCGGGAGCGCGAAGATGGCGAAATCCTCGCCGTCGCGGCTGAGCTGCCTGGGGCACATGGCCAGCGGCACCGGCCCATACGCAGCAGCCTCAGGTACGCCCCAGCGGTTGCACTGAACAACTGCCCACCCAGCCCGGCTGATGCCCGGGAGGCGCCCTGCGAAGGCGGAGCCGTCAGTGAACAGCATGCCCCCGAGGCGGCCCGAGCTGGGCCGATTCCACCAATGGATCTCGAACTCCTGGCAGCCGATGTCGCTCCAGAGGTGCTGGGGGTCCGGGAAGATCCCGCGCGCGAATCGCTCAGCAAACAAGGGCCCCTCGCGCTGCGCCCGCCGGGCCCTCGCCACCAGAAATGGGGATGCTGCGGTCCGCCTGCGGCTGGCATGGGCATCGCACTCGTACACTCTGTGGAAGATCGTGCCAGCCTTAGCCCGGCACAGCTTGCACAGCCCGCACGCTGCGAGGCCATGGCGCCGGAGCCGCTCCTGGCACCAATGCGTGTTGTCCACAAGGGCCCGGAGGGAATTCTGCTGCCGCTTTGTCCAACTGCGTGCCGATCCCCACAGCAGCGGCCGCAGGGCCAGCCAGCTGATCGGCTGCACCCAGCGGTGGTCGTCACGCACCTCCTTGGCCTCGCACGCCAGTGCCATGCAATCCGAAGCACGCCAAGCGGCGTCTTGGGCGAGACGGGCAACCAGACATGGGGCCGTGCGCACCAGGTCCAAGCGGGCGCCCGCGTCGGTGACCAAAACGGCCTCGTCCTCGAAGCGCCAGCCGCACCGACCCAGCGTCAGCAGCGCCACGTCCGCGGGGGAGATTGCCTGCGACCACGGGTGCCGGAGGTGGCCCAAGCGCGCTGCGGCGTCTGTCAGGCACGCTCGGAGGACTCCGCGCGGCGGCAAGCCCTCCCAGACAGCGCGAGCCCACTGCTGCGCCACAGCCCCCGCGTTGATGGCCAACGGATCCGTGCTTAAGAGGCGCCCGAAGGAGGCGAGCCGAAGTCCGACCGAGGCGCCCCTGGCCACAGGCCCAAAGCTGCGTGCAACCTGCACCCGGAGCTGGTGCAAGACCGTGGGGGCCAGCCCAGTCACGGTGGTACCCCACGTGGCTTTGGCGGTAGGCCCGCCGCGCTGGATGCCGTGAACAGGCCCGTCCCCGCTGCGGAAACTCCAAAGTCGGACTGCCTGCGCCCGCGCCGTGGCCTGCCTTTCGGCGCAGATGCTGACTCGGCGGCGGCTCCCGTCGTTGGCGTCGGTCCCAAGGTTCCGCGCATGCTGCACCTTGGCCGCGGGGCCAAGCGCCCAGCGCGGCGCGAGGGCAGCCTCGACCCCCGCGTCCGAGACGAGGTACGCGAGCTTCTTCTCGGGGAGGAGGAAGAGGAGGAGGAGGATGCAGAGGACGAGGCAGAGGAGGAGGAGGAAGAGGAGGAGGAGGAGGAGGAGGAGGAGGAGGAGGAGACGGAGGAGGAGAAGGTCGTCGACGAGGTTGGAATGGACGCACGGCCTGCCAACCATGGCTCCCGGCGAACGCCCAGCAATTTGACACGCTGGCGCCGCGTCAAGGAAAATGGAGGAGGAGGAGGAGGAGGAGGAACAGGCGGAGGAGGAGGAGGAGGAAGAGGAGGATGCAGAGTAGGAGAAGGAGGAGGCGGAGGAGGTGTTCGCCTGCCTGCCGGCGAACGCCCAGCAATTTGACACGTTGGCAGCGCGTCAAGGAAAAAGGAGGAGGCGGAGGAGGAACTTGCGGATGTCGATCAATGCGGTGGCTGCCGACATGCCCGTGGCCCGCGCGTATCGCTGCAACATGTTGTGCACCCATCCCGCGCGCTCGCAGGGCTTCGAGCCGCCACCCCAGAAGGCGCTGCACGGGCGCGCCTGCTCCCAGGCCCTGCACAGCGGCTGCCGCACCCGGCTGTAGATATTGAACAGCAGTGGCAGCAGCCCAATTGGCCGGACGCCCCCGTCAGGTTTCCCAAGGAACACGATGCTGTTCACTAGCGTGTCGGCCATGCCGACGGTCTGCTCTGGCTGCGCTTCGAAGTGGTTGAGCAAGTCCACCAAGCGCTGCTGGGTCTCCAACGGCAGATCGAGGATCCAGCGCGGGTGGAACTTGTCCCAGGCCAGGCCCGCCTTGGGCTTGTAGCGTCGGCACACGTGCAGGACCTCAGGCAGGGAAATGGGCGGCAAGAAATCCCTGCAGCTCCATGCCCTTGCAAGGTTCTGATCCAGCATGCCGGGTCCATTTGGGCAACCACTCCTGCAGCAGCACCTCCAGTGCTGCGACCCCGTTGACGGGCAGCGGGCAGGGCCCCGAGGCGGCGTCGAGCAGGGCCTCGGCCGGCGGCAGCGGCCCCTTGATCCTCCAGTGGGCGATTCGCCCTCCGTTCTGCACGGCGCCCGCCGCGAAGGTGCGTGCCCGCGCGGCTGCCGTGTGGGTCGCCTGCACCTGCGCCTCCGCTGTCTGAAGTTCCTCCAGCGCGCGCTGGCGCATCGTGTCGTCCACCCCGTCCAGCTGGTCCAGGAGCTCCTGGGCCCGCCCCGGCGTGATGCCCGAGTCCTGGAAATCCAACGTCTGGATGGTGCGTCGGAGGACGCACTGCCACTGAGCGCGCAGTGCACGCCCTCCTGCCCCGAGAGGTCGTCCTGCCAAGCTGGCTGCCTTCCCTGCGAGCAGCTGGAAGCTCTTCCACATGGGTGCGCGGCCGTCGAGGCGCTCCACCAGCGCGCGGTCCCAGGCATCATGGAGAGGGACCCGTACCAGGCGGTATCCCTCGGCGCGGCCAGGCCTGCGTGCATTCGCCTCCTGAGCGTCGTGCAAGACGTCGAGCTGCACCTCGGCCTCGGTGAACCATTCGCCGAGCCCTTCTGCCAAGGAAGGGGGTGCCGAACCGCCGCTCCAAGACCAATCCACACCTGGCGGCAGGGCCCGCGGCCCTATCCAGGGCTCCGTGGGGTAGGCCTTGCATCGCCGCACCTGGGGAACACACGTGTGCTGTCCCAGGCCCGCCAACTCCAGGTGCACGGGACTGTGCGGGAAGGTGGGCGCACCTCCCATGATCCGGACCTGCGCCACCAGGGGCCGGAGTTCCCGAGCCACCACGAAGAAGTCGAACGTGGCGGTGCAATCGTCTGGCTCCGGGCTGCGGGCCCAGCACGTGGCGCCGGAGGGCACAACGATCACACCCAGGAGGGAGTCGGCCCACTGCGAGTCCTCCAACACCTGCGCGCTGATGTTCCAGTCCCCCTGCACGACCCACGGCACGTCCAGCTTCAGGATCTCCGCCGCCAGCAGATCCAGCAGCCCGATGTTGAAATCGCCGAGCCTGGAGCTGTCTTCCAGGTAGACCGAGAATGCGGCAACCCTCATGCCGCCTATGTTCAGGACCCGTCCTGCCAGGCGGCCCTGGTAGGCCTCACCCATGTCGAGCTCGAGGGGGCTCGAAGCGATGGCCTGGGAGACTCCCACCGCCACACCCCCAGAAGATTCGAGCGGGCCTGGACCCGTCGGGGCAGCCCTGCTTAAAGTCATGGCCATGTGGCGCCGGCCAGCCCACTCCCGAGCGCGTCCTTCCCGCTCGGTGCACTTCAGCCGCGTCTCCTGGACGCACCACAGCCTGGGCGAGCGCCGGCAGCCCTGCTCCTCCGTGAGGGCCACGTACCAATCCAAGGCTGCCTGGGCCGAGCTCCACGTGTTGGCGCTGACCCCAAATATGTGCAGGTCGGCAGCCGTCCGGCCTGCCGTCAGCCAAGGCATGCCCTCCTCACCTCTACGATCCGTCCCTGGCCGGCGAGGCCGGGACAGGAGGGGCGCGGAGCTCCGAGGAAGCGTGCCCGGCTACGGGGCCCCTGAAACGCCCCCGGGGGCGCTGAGGGCGCTACCCCAGCGACTTCTTCTTGCTGATGGTCTTGGCGACCAGCTGCCCGGCCAGCCGCACGGCCGCCTTGGCCTTGGCTCGCCTGGCTGAGCGATCGCTGTCACCAGCAGCAGCAGCACCACCGCCAGTGTCCAGCTCGTCCAAGACCGCGTCGAGGGCAGCATGGTCCTCCCCATCAAGCATGTCGAGGTCTGGGAGTTCTGGATGGGCTTCAGCTCCTCCTCCTCCTCCAGCTCCGACGAGGGAGAGGAGAGGGAGAGGAGAGGAGGAGTCCCGGGAGAGGCCCGGAGGAGAGAGGGAAGGCTACAGCTTGGTCGGGCAAGAGAAGAAGAAGAAGACAAACAAATCACGCACACACACAAATAAATAAGCAAGAATGGTAGGGAAATCGTCCCCAGACTATTTCTTAACGTATTCAGGCAGATTCCTCCTGTAGAGGGACAGGCCCGACTCGAGGCTAGAGGAAGAGGAAACGGCATACACGTCATCGTTGGGAGGTCCGCGCGGACTTCTCGGATCGGCGCTGTCCCCTGCGCGCGGAGCGCGCCATTGGCGGCGCTGGAGGCGCCGCGCAGACATCTGGACGTCTATGTTTGAGAGGTTATTGTTTTTGTCGTTTCCGATATCATGTTCATCTCAATGGTATTAGCACTCTGTGATGGCTCGCATATCTATCATGTATATTCAGATCAAAAGTGCTACTACTACTGCGACAATGTTCGAAGTATTGTTATCAGTTGTCTTCGAAGTATTGTTCGGATTCGTATTAGTGTTCGTCTTCGTCTTCGAAAGAGAGAGAGAGAGAGAGAGAGAGAGAAAGAGAGAGAGCTAGAGAAAGCTTCATGGGTCAGAGCACCGTTTAACTGATCCCCATCCCCACTGGCGTGGCCTGAGCCCCGCTTGCCGATCTACCCCCCTGCTGGGGATATAGCCTGTTCCCTCCGGGCTTCGAGGGGCGTAATCCCCAACCTGGGATGGTGGGACGCTGGCTTGAAACCCCACGACCTGGGGGGGGGGATGGGGATCGGTCAAAAGGTACTGAGGGTCCTGCGCCTCGGAGTGCAGAACGCGAGAGCACGGAGGTGGATATATATGCTCGCTGCTCGTGAGAGGAGGCGGAGGAGGTGGGAGGAGGAGGAGGAGGAGGAAGGAGGAGGATGAGGGGAGAAGGAGAGGGAGGAGGAGGAGGAGGAGGGAGAGAGGAGGAGGAGGGGGAGGGGGAGGAGGAGTGAGGGTCCTGCGTCGGTGATCTTCTTGATCTTGTCCTTTGTGAAGTCCATCTCCTTCTGGCGGACCTCCCCACGGGGCCCCCTCCGGACGCCCTCCGCTCCGCCCGCCGCCTCCGCTCCTCCTGCCGCTCCTGCCGGCCGCCGCGCCTGCAGCAGCAGCGGGCGCGAACCCGAGCCTGCAGAGCTCCTCCTCCCTCCTCCTCCTCCTCCTCCTCCTCCTCCCCTCCACCCCCCTCCTCCTCCTCCTCCTCACTCCTCCTCCTCCTCCTCCTCCTCCTCCTCCTCCTCCTCTCCTCCTCCTCCTCCTCCTCCTCCTCCTCCTCCTCCTCCTCCTCCACCTCCTCCTCCTCCTCCTCCTCCTCCTACCTCCTCCTCCTCCTCCTCCTCCTCCTCCTCCTCCTCCTCCTCCTCTCCTCTCCTTCCTCCTCCTCCTCCTCCTCCCTCCTCCTCCTCCTCCTCCTCCTCCTCCCTCCTCCTCCTCTCTCCTCCTCCTCCTCCTCCTCCTCCTCTCCTCTCCTCCTCCTCCTCCTCCTCCTCTCCTCCTCCTCCTCCTCCTCCCCCTCCTCCTCCTCCTCCTCCTCCTCCTCTCTCCTCCTCCTCCTCCTCCTCCTCCCTCCTCCTCCTCCTCCTCCTCCTCCTCCTCCTCCTCCTCCTCCTCCCTCCTCCTCCTCCTCCTCCTCTCCTCCTCCTCCTCCTCCTCCTCCTCCTCCTCCTCCTCCTCTCTCCTCCGCCTCCTCCTCCTCCTCCTCCTCCTCCTCCTCCCCCTCCCCCTCCCCCTCCTCCTCCTCTCCTCCGGGAGGCTTCTGGCCGGGAGCGTTGCCCCGCGTGTCGCCGCGTGCCTGGCCGAGCGGACAGCACGCCGCCCCGCTCCTCGGGGCGGGGGGCCCGGAGAGGCTCGGGACGCTTCGGCGCCTGGGGAGCCAGGAGTGGATGGCGTGCCGCGCCGAAGCGCGGTGGGCTATCCAACGCAGGAGGAGCAGGAGGAGGAGCAGCAGGAGGAGGAGCAGCAGCAGCAGCAGGAGGAGGAGGAGGAACAGTAGGAGGAACAGTAGGAGGAGGGGAGCTGTAACTGGCGGAGCAACACGCCATCCAACAGTGCCCGAGCGCAAGAAACACCCCCCAGGGCCGCCCCGCCCGACGGCCCGTCCCGGCGCGCCCACGCCCACCGAGCCCACCCCCGACTGCGATCCACCCCTCACGCCCCACGAGGGACGCCCCATTGTTACCACCTCCCCCCAAACATGATCCACCCAATCACGCTGATTGAGCAATTCGGAATAGACGGCTCCAACAGTGCTCTATATAGGTTCAATACTTGGTCCTGTTGGACGGATCCGCCCAGGGACTTCGCTTCGGCCCCCGAAGACGCATCACCAGCCCCCATGGCAGTTCAGACGCCAGCAGGCGGGATGCAGTATTCGATGTGCATATAGATACATAGCTTGGCGCCTCCTCCCTTACCAGAACACATCTCTCGTGCCCCTCAACCGGTTGTCTGATGGAGAAGCCAATCACTCCCTGCTCCCTCCTGCCCTGTCCATCGCTGCCTCCTTCCCCCAAAGCTCGACAACTTCGACTCAAACCGTCTCGCGCGCTGAGTCTCTGCTCGTCACAGCTTCGCTGCCCCACGTGTGCCCGCTGCGGCTCCTGCTGTCTTTCTTTCCGAATCTGGCTCTAAAAACTGCTCGCACCTCTCAGGCTTAAGTCGGGCGTGTCCCCCTACAGGGGGATTGTCGACGAAACATAAAAAATATTCAAACAATACACCAAAAAGGTCAAAATGTACTCCAAGCATAGTCCCCAGACTATGTTTTGACTATGTTTGAATGTTCCACCTCTAGAGGGACAGGCCCGACTTGATCTCAGGCTCTAGAGCATGAATCAGCACCAACGTTCTGCAAACTCCTGGCCCGCCGTCCGCGCTGCCCCAGATTCCTGGCATCGCCAGCGGGAGGAGGAGGAGGAGGAGGAGGAGGAGGAGGAGGAGGAGGAGGAGGAGGAGGGAGGAGGGAGGAGGGAGGGAGGAGGGAGGAGGGAGGAGGAGGGAGGAGGGAGGAGGGAGGAGGGAGGAGGAGGGAGGAGGGAGGAGGGAGGAAGGAGGAACTCTGGCATGGGCCAGTTGCGGGACTCTGCGCCGAAACCCCTCCCAACTCCGTGCGCCGTGCCGCCGCAGTGGCACGCGCCTCCCTGCTTGGCCCCTGCATCGCACCGACATGCGCAGCATCCCTCCCGCAGGCCTTCTCGAGCTCCGCGGGATCGTCGATCACGATGTTCACCCCTTCGGCAGATAGGGGTGGCTTATGCGAGGGCCGCAGATGGCAGTAGCATCTGCACGGTGACCGAGCAACACCAGCGCCAACCAGCTGCAGGACACGCGCACTACTGCTGAACGAGTGCAGCGAGAACATTGGAGGAACGCACACCGCACGAATCAGGCATCAGAATGTTGGGGCAGTGCCGCACCCGTTGCAAACAGCACAACCATGATCATTGCTCACGCTGCTCTGCTCATACCACATGTCCTGCAGTCCAGCCCAGTGCTTTCAGCGCACGCTGTGCGCGGGGTTATGGCACACAGCAGGCGAATGGATGGGCTCGCCCATCGACATCTTGTGCTTCTTCAAATCAAAATCCAGCAGGGCGATCTTGGCGTTCGTCACAGACGTGGGCATCTCCTGGCATGACAACACATGCAAACCTATACGGCAAACTAATGAATCCCAGGCCGCTCCAACCTGCCCGATCACGTGAAGTTTGCCACAGGGGCATACCACCAGAGCGTGTCACACACACACACACATCGACGGCCTCGGCGGTGTGGCCCCAGAGCATCCAGGAACCGTAGATCTGGGGACATCTGCTGGCCCCTGCTGGTGAGAACGCGTTCATATGAACCACTCCCCCGGCTCCCCCGGGGACCCAGGGCAGGACACCAGAAGTTCTGGATATGGACGCTGCAAGGGGAGCGATCTCTCTCGCCCCCTGACCCCTGCGGCAAGTTCACTTCGCCATGACGCGGGCGCTGGTCTCTGATCCAGATCTTCGCCATCGCGACTCCAACCCCGAAGAACTGGACCTCTTTCTCGGGATCGGCGTTTCATCCCAAAAGTCCGCACCTCTTCCCCGGGACCGGTTTTCCATCCTGGATTGTTTTTGACGACTGTCCCGTCGTAAGTCCCACAACATCTCACAACGAAAAGATGTTTGGGAAAGGGGGAGCAGGGGGAGCGGAAGCAGACAAAGGAGGAGGCGGAGGACGAGAACGGGAGGGGGAGGAAAACAAGCTAGGTGCCCTCGCGTCATATCTGACGTCCCGCCCCTCCGTCCCATCCCTCACCATGGCGTAGGTATCCTCTCTATTCGCATAGTCGGATGTCGAGCAGGGCGATGATCGCGAGAAGGTGCGCGATGCATCGTAGAACACGGCATGGCATGGCGGAGAAGAGCACGGCAAAGAGAAGCATGCCATAGCATGGCGTGGCATTGCGCAGTGAAGCGTTGCATCACAAAGCATTGCAACGCCAAACATGGCATCGCACAGGGGCGCCGAACACAACACCGAACAGCATGTCATGGCATAGCACTGGGTTCCTTGAAGGGTAAGTGGATCGTCTTCGAGAGGTCTGGGCTGGTCTGGAGCCGTGGTTCCATGTCTAGCTCCTTGGGCTCCCCGACAAGCTCCACACAAGGCGGGGCTGATGGAGAGCACCCGCTGGCTCTGATTTCAACATCGCCTTCTCAAAGCAGCAACGGGGCTCCCGCTTGAAACGTCCTGGAAGCGACAACGCCCCAAGGTGGGGTTCTGCACCCAAGAAAACAACGAACAACGAATGCACAATCACTTCCAATGCTTTTTCGGGGGGGGGGCATTGTCTAGATTTCGGGGCCTCTCTGGAAGGACCGAAAAAGCCCGCGCTGCAGCGGGAACACGACTTGGAGCAACCAAAGGCGCAGAAATGGGGCAAGCGCTTCCGCGGGAACGCAGTGCGGCACCCCCGCTCCACGGCGCCGGCACGCGCACGAGGAGAGCTACACCCGTGCAGCACCCCCCCTACCCAGATGCTCGGGGGACGGCGGCGACCACGACGACGACGACGACGTCCACGGCGACCACGACGACAACGACGACGACGGCGACGACAACGACCAATGACCACGACGACCACGACGACGGCGCTGGCAATGGCGCCGACGACGGCGACGACGACCATGACGATTACCACGACGACGAAAACGAGAGCGACAGTATCCGCCGGCCCCGTTGCGGGGCCACCAGGCGGCGAGGGAGAGGGTTGCAATGCCTTGCGCCAGCTCCAAATTCCAGTCTCCAATGTGATAGCCTTCCTGTCAGTTTTCTACTGTATATGGTCAGTGTCCGCGCGAGGGGGGGGACCCGAAAAGGGCCCGGGCGACCATCCCCCAGGAAGGTTCTCAGAATTTCCTGTGGGTCGTGTGACAAGTTTTAAAAATTGAAATCTGCACACCTAAGGCCAGAAACCCTTGCAAATTGCAATGGGCTCGGGCTGCCGAAGCCACAATCATGTGCAAATTGCATCATGCTCGCGCTGCCGAAGCCACAATCCCTTGCAAATTGCATTGCACCGTGCTCGCGCTGCCGAGGCCTCAATCCGTTTCGAATTGCGGTTGGTTTACGCTCCCGAAGCCACAAGCGTGAGCAAATTGCGACACTCTCCGAAACCACAATCCCTTGCCAATTGCGCCGTATCCGCGCTGCCGAAGCCACAATCCCCCGCATATTGCGCCATACTCGTGTTTACGACGCCACAATCCTTTTTGTAAATTGTGCAAATACGCATTCTCGAGACCAGTCCCCTGCAAATTGCGCCATACTCGCGCCGCCGAGGCCGCAATCCCTTGCAAATTCGGCCATACTCGCGCTGCCGAAGCCACAACCCACCGCAATTTGCACCAGACTCGCGCTCTCGAAGCCGCAATCTCCAGCAAATTGCACCGTACTCTCGCTGCCGAGGCCACAGTCCCCAACAAATTGCACCGAATTCGCGCTGCTGAAGCTACAATCCATCGCAAGTTGCGCCAAACTCGCGCTGCCGAGGCTCCAATCCTTAGCAAAATGCACCATCTTCGCGCTGACGAAGCCACAATCCCTTGCCAGTTACGCCCTGCTCGCGCTGCCGAAGCCACAGTCCCCTGCAACTTGCGCAACACTCGTGTTTCCGACGCCACGACCCTATCTAAGATCAGACTTCATCAGCGCCGCTCGCCGAGGTGAACTTCTCCTCGGGCGAGCTCTGACCACGGGAGTGCACTGAACGCACCCCAGTCAGCAGTATACGGCATCACCAATGGCACCCACGCGGGGTACCAACCTGGCTGTGCCCCCCCTGGTAAGGGGGAGTCCACCGAAGCCACTCCGGCACTGCGCCCAAAAGGGACGGGCAGCAGCAGGGGAGACGGGGGGCCCCTGTCTTAGAGGGCCACATTGGAGACGGGGTGGCGGCCAGCCAGAATTCTCCGTACGCGCACGGCCGCCCCCGCAAGGGAGCTTTTTGACTTGGGCACCCCTTTGCAAGCAGCTCGACACTTCTTGGCGTTGCACGCCCCCTCCTGATATGCTCCACAGCACTGGCAACAGAAAGCCAGCCCGCTCTGAACACAGTCGTGCCGCGAGTCATGCCCCATGGCGCGGAACATGTCCATGGCGGAGGACGTAGCCACAGGTGGGGCGGGCAACGGTGGCACCGCCACGTCGGAACCGTCTGGCATCGCGACCATGCCAATCGACGACAAAAAATGGCGCCCCCCAAACCACCGCGTCGCCAGCACTGAGCCGGTAAAGAAAACTGTCAGCCGAAGCACGCTGGTACTCCGTCGGCGCACGCTTCGTGCGTGCTACCATGTTGCACAACCTGCATCGAACCTCGCCTTTGGACTGTACCCAGCAAAGGTCGTGGCCCGTGACACTGACTGGTTGGGCTGCAGTAGGGTGCCTAGTGGGCCGCGGGGCCAGCACCTCGGCCCAGCCTCGTGAGCGAATTCGACGCTGAGCTAATTCGACTCTGAGCAACTGCCTAGCCTCGTGAGCTAATTCAACTCTGAGCAACTGCCCACTCTGAGCAACTGCCCACTAAGGAGGCGAAGCTATTCTCGAGGAGAATAGCTTCGCCTCCTTTAGCGCTCTGTTGTGCGCCTCCGCAGGACCCTCTGAGACGGCAATATCAGAGGCTCCTGCCTTAGCAAAGTGGTCGGCCCACGCATCCGACGCCACGATCTCTCGTGAAAGTGCACCATGTTCGCGCTCTCGAGGCTACAGCCCCCCTCAAATGCACCAATTTCGCGTCCCAGAGGCCACGGTCGCTGGTAAATTCCTCAGTATTCGCGTCTCCGAGGCCACGAGCCCTTGAAAACTACACACTGGTCGCGTCCCCTAGGCCACGATCGCTGGTAAATTACACCATGTCCGCGTCCCCGAAGCCACGCTCCCTCGTAACAAACGCCGATGAACCCCAAGACCGTCCAAGCCGCACGATTTTGCCCGACGTAGCCTCAGGCAGCCCACAGTCGTTGCAAGTGGGCAGCCGATACACAGCATGATGGAAAGTTCGCAAAAGGCACAGAGCTCAACGCTATCATCTGAATCTCCATTTGTCTTGAAGATTACCAATCGTCCTCGCACGAGGTCGTGATACTGCTTCGCGACGGCGCCCAGGCATCCCAACATGGCTCCTGCATATTCCATAATGATGGAGAGGGGGCCCGCGGCAGAGGGCGAAGCCCTTACCGGACCCCAAGACGGCACAAGGGGTCCCCGGGACGGCCCAAGAGGGCCCCAGGACGGCCCCAAGAGGGGGCCCAGACAGGGAACCCGAACGGACATTTCGAGCTTTCGGTCCCAAGAGGCCCCCAGGAGGACCTAAGAGGCCCCAGGAGGCCCCCGAGAGCCCCCAAGAGGCCCCAAAGCAGCCCCCAGGAGGCTTCCAAACTGCCCCGCAGAGGCCCCCGAGAGCCCTTTCGAGAGACCCCAGGAAGCGTCCATGAGGACTCCGACCCAAAACCCAAGCACGGTGGCGGGATGGGCCGACGGCTACTTGATAGCTAGCATGCGCGCTGCGTCACGGCTTCCGATGCTGCGCACCACTTCGACAAACTCCCAAGGAACGGCCGGTGATGCGCCGCTGGCGTCCTGGATATAAGAGGCAAGCGAACCTACCCCGTTATTGACCATCCTCGCCTCCGAACGGCACCCTCATAACACAGAGCTGCACGTGGGGTGGCCCGCTGTTAGGTCCCCACGTACGGGATAGGAGGTGCCTGGGCCCTCCCAGAGAGGTTCGGGAGATAAGCGAAAACTTTCCTCTTTTCTCTCCTTCCCTCCTCTCGTTCTTCCTTTGGTCCTTACATCCTCCTCCATCTAGCCCCTCCTCCCTATACCTGCCAGCTCAGCACAGCAACATCGTATCATTAAACGTGACAACAGCACCGCAGCATGGGCCCCAACACAGCAGCATAGCACACTCAGGTGGAACAGACCATTGGTCATATCATCGTATAGCATAGCGTAGCATGGCGCAGCACATCGTTGCACGTATCATAGCACATCGTACACATCAAATGTTACATAGCAAAGCATAGCGTAGCGTAGCATAGCATAGCGTATAGCATAGCATATCATATCACAGCATTCACAGCACATAGCATAGCATAGCGTAGCATCGTGAATGCGAGCTTTGTTCTCGTTCTGGACATACTGGTGCAAGGTGATGAAGTCTTGCCTCCTGGTTGTCGCATTGTCACGCATCCGCAACCGTTTTGGCCGAATGAGTTCGGGTTCGGATTCAGATATTTTGTGTCCTTCTCGGGGCTCCTCGCCTGATGAGATTCTCGAGCCCCGCGTGCAGAAACGTGCCAAGACGCGACACACGATGCCAGGGCCCGCGTTTCATGGTTGCGATTTGTGGTGTTTGCTCAAAGGCTGAACCTTCGGATAAAGACACATTGGATCGTCTATGCAGGCCCCTCACCCACATTGACCTTCCGCGAGCTGAGGAGAAGTACCTGCTTGGCATTGCTGTGTCAAACTGGAGGCTTCTGGACCCTGGGACACAACTGAGCTCGACCCAAGCACTCCTGAGATCAGATGTTGGTCACCGCATTTATGCTGAACACGTGGGTTTTCTCGAATATACATACATCACCGGTATGCCGTGCAGGCGCCCAGAACTGGTGCCCCGATCAACTGGCCCAATTAATCTTGCACGAATTCAAGAATTTGTCGGACGAGACCCGTTGCTTCGACCTTGTCTGCAGAGGCACGCGCTGCCCGTGTCGGACGTGCTGGTAACATCGGTGTTGCTTGGCCGCTGTGTGGCAGCAGGCTTCCTAGATGCATGCTGTTACGTCCCATTTGTTTTGCGCAATCGGAGGGCGTCGCTCTTTGTTTCCAGGCCCACGTCAGAAGATATGTCAGCGTACCGACGGCGTGTTCAAGACAACGATCCAGCATGTTCGGAACCCGATGCCGTGCAAAATGAATGGCTGGATGTTTCTGAGTTTGGCGGTGGTGATCGCCGCACTACGAAGACGGCCTTGCACGCATTGCGGTTCATTAGAGCTACAGCATTCTTGAAAAAAGTTCAAAGATCTGGAACAGCAGAGTGCAGCCACGCTGCAAGCTCACTGGCCAGAACTCTACCAATCCATGCTCGATGAGTTGTTCAAGAGTGGCTTCTCGCATCCCAGCAAAACATCTTTATACGCTTCTCGCCCGAGGCTGGACATGGCGGTGATGAACATTGAACGGCGCATGCTGAGTAGCCGGCCGTGGTCTAGGCCTGAACACGGGCGTCGGACAATTCATTTGTACACGGACTCGAGTCCGAATTCAGGAGAGGAGATCATGGGGAGTTTGTGCGACATATTCGTTCCTGGTGCTTCAGTGTTGGGACATCTGATGCCAGGCGCATGTTTGGGCCACGGATATCAGGGGGCAATGGATAAAACAATGGCATTATTGTGGCAGCTCTGGTTGATTGCAGGGCCTCGCATGGACACTTTCGAACGGTTCCTCGAGGATTGCATGTCTATTACGACCGACATGGGGACTGAACGCCTCACCGCAGACATTGGGAATTGCTTGCGCATTTTTGCCGCGAAGATCGGGCTTAGCATTTCTCCCAAGTTCGCGTCTTACAAACGACTGCTGGAGTTTTGCGTGGCTGTTCCAGACTGGCATCACCTAGTGGCTTGGTGCTTGAAGGCATCTCTAGAGGCGTTAGGCGAATGGCCCGATATTCTGAGTACTCTTCGAGCGCACTGCAGATTCTTCAGGAACGCAAGTTATCGTGAATCGCTAGTGGTGTGGTTGAAGTCGCATGGGCATGGCGATTATTCAAAGACTTTGAAGTGCTTCAGTGCGTCGTTCGCCAAATGGCGGTTCGAGACCGTGCTGGAGGTCATCAATTCGCTAAACAAGGTGCGGCATATATGCTCGTTGTTTCAACCGCGCATGCTTGGCGTGCTTCAGGACGCACAGGATTTCAACGAGATTGTCAAACACAAGGGCAATACTCACTTTTGGCGTTGGGTGCGAGGCTTTCACATGATGGCGCACCCTATTGAGCGATTTCGGACATGGGCGACGGCCTGCCCGCATCCCGAGCACCAGGAAGCGCTGAAGAGGGGGAAGAGCGTCCAGTGCGAGCAGCTGGGCCGTCGGCTTCAAGAGGCGCCCCAACGAGTTGTCGACTTGAAGACGCACCTCACTGACGTGGCAGACAGGCTGGTCCTGGAAGATGTTCTGGGTGACGAGGCTGTCTTCAGGGATCTGTCGTTTGCCCTCAGGCGGTTCTTGCCAGAGTTTAAAGAGAAGTTCGCTTGGGTCGAGCTGATGCCTTACGCATTCGCCAGTGCCACGGACCAGGCGGTCGCCCGATCTATCATCCAGCAGTGGGAGGTGAGTCCTCGGCGAGACCACCACAGCATGACGTTATTGCTCATGGACGAATTCGAAGTGGATGTCAGGAGGATCGCCGATGGATGTATCAACGATGCCCCACAACGTTTTTTTTTGGCGCAGGTTGAGGCTTTCCGAAGGATCCCACTGACTTCCCAGGTTGCAGAAGGCTACCACAGGTCAACGAAGCTCAGCAAAACTCGCGGCGGCTCTTCTCGCTTGCCGTGGCTGCTATCTTCCAACAGGATCTGGCAAAATCTAAACATCGTGGCGGCGCTTGAGGACAGCCCTGAAGGGCGCGCATGTCTCGAGTGTGAGTTTAGACGCGCTACCAGGGCACTGCAGACGAAGAACGCGTTGTTGTTGAAACGGGTCAAGGCACCAATCAGTAAGTGTGTTAAGAGAACGTACCGCCTCGGCGAGTTCAACTATTTTGATTGGGAAGAGCTCGCGGCGGACTTGGTCGCCGTGCCGCCGCGGGAAGCCGAGGCCGCCGAGGTTCCAGAAGCCGACGGAGGCGCTCTTGCCGCCGAGGGGCACGCCGACGTTGGCCAGGATGGCATTCCTCCAGCACCTGAGAACGAGTCGGCGTTGGTCGAGCTGCACGGGGACGTGGACATTTCTGCCGCGGAGGGGGTCGTCTTGAAGAGAAGCTACTTGAGCGCGGTGATTGGCCACCACGATTTCTTCAGCGTCACTGTGCCAGACCACGATGACCCATTCTTATTCCAGGTCTTGAAAGTCGTTACCAAGCCATGGCTCGTGGTCAATCCCATCAGGGCGCAAGTGAGGAAGCCTGTTTTTGAAGTAGTCATTCAGACGTATTCGTTCTGGGGTACCGATCGTGGCGCAGGCGCAGTTGTATATGCTGATGGAGATGCAGGTTGTCTGAACTTGACTGCGTGCTCACACGCTCGGCCCAACATGGCCTTGACCGACCCGCAGTGCCCGCCGCTTGTGATAATGAAGGAGCTTCATCGGCAAGGCATGGCCATGTCAGACCAAATTATCACGCACGTGTCTGGCGCTGGCCCCTTGACAGTGTACAGCGTCAGAAAGGTCGGCTCTCGCCGAGAGTACCTCCAGTGCTTGCTTTCATGGCGCACATTGGTAGAACAGGGCTTGGGCGACATGCGCAGTGACGCCCCGATCGACTACTACAAGAATTTGCTGAAGGGGAACATCGTTCCCGCCGGGCAGCCAGCCAAGGTTTACAAGCGCCTGCTGCAGGGGGAGTTGCTCGATGAGTTGCTCGCAGGGCTGGAGCGGCCAGACGCCTTGGAGGACGCTGGCGCGATTGCCCTGGAGGATGGCCCGATGCCCGAAGCCCTGGATGACGGCTCGGAGTCTGGCGGGCCTATCGGCGACTCGCCGAAGCCAGCTTCTTCGAGTTCGACGTCCTCGACCTCTTCGAGTTCGTCCTCTTCGAGTTCGAGCAGCTCCAGCTCGAGCAGTTCCGACGACCTATTGGCGCCAGCGGCCGACGTCGAGTGCGGCCCCGCCCCAGTGACCCCAGAGTTCATCGGTGGGCAGCGCCTCTTGATTGAAGACCGCATGGCGATATCAGGGTATTTCCGATATAGGTTGAAGTGCGACACTCACGTCGGCTGCTCTCGAAGCCGAAATGCATTGGCAGCTCAAAGCGCTGACTTCGGCGTATACCAGCCTATTGCTTACCTAGCTGTGTGGCAAGAGATGGGCCGAGACTTGAGCAGAGATGAGCATCGGAAGCAGGACTTGGAAATACCTCTGGAAGACCAGAGGGCGTGGTTGCAAGCGAATGGTCACCTTGAGCCTTGACCCAAGGGAGAGACTGGGGCACGTCTGTCGAAAAAACTCAAAACAATAGACGTGCAACAACAGGAACAGCTGGCAAGGAACGCGGTGAGAGCGCAACTGGTCTCCTCCTCGGCGTGGACCCCTTTCGGAGCTGGAGCGCGTCGATGATCGCACTTCGTTGGGGGCCCACGATGGCCTCGGGGGCCCGATCTGTGCAGGCACTGTTTGGGCGGCCAGAGTCGAGCGGAAGGAGGGGTGAGCAGAGCTCCACCCCCTTATCTTCACCATTCATCGCCATGATCGCACTTAACGTCAGCAGCACCACTGACAGCAACATCAATATTAACTAACACCAACATCATCATCGTCAACAACATCATTCGCCGTCATCGCCGTGCTAACTGTCATCGTCAGCATCAGCATCACCACCAACTCCCGTCTCACTGTTCGAGCAATTTGGGATCAAGTGCTGAGTGCAGGGTCTATCGTCCCTCCGCCAGCCGAGTCCTGCGTACGCCCAGCTCCAGTCTGAGTGGCAGCGTGCCAGATTTGCGGATCAGATGGTGCGGACCCAGAAGGAAAAGGACCTCCAGAAGGTCATCAAGGACAAGGACACGCATATCAAGGATCTCCAGAAGATCGTCAAGACCATGATGAAGATCCAGATCCAGAGCCATAAGAGAGTCAGACAGTATATCCGGGGCATCGACCAGGCGACTTACGACAGGCTCAATGCCAAGTATGTCTAGGTTCCCACCCGAATGCCTTCACGGTCCATGGCCAGGGCCACGGTGAAGGCGGTGCAGAGGCAGGGTTAGTCGAGCACGTGAGTTGAATCAACGATCGAGCCTTGCCAGGTAGGTAGTGCGTTGGCCTCCAGTCGCCGCTGCGTTCTCCCAGCGTGTCTCAGGAGCCCACCCCGATGGGCTCTTTCGCTTCTATATTTATCAGTTTTGGGGATTGGCCGCCCAGAGAGCGACCTGCAGCTCCGCGTGAAAAGAACTCATTCGGTGCGCTACCAGGTGTATCTTCGCTCATACTCAGACTCACTATTACTTAGGCAGCCTCGTGCGAGGAGCCCGTCCCGCTGAGAGATACTTCTGTGCTGTGCAGCCTAACTCAGATTCAGACTCATTCGTATCTAGAAGAACACTCACACGCTCATGTTCACTCACACTCAGACAAAATAGAGTCTCATGCGGGATCCCACCGTTAGGGTAACGCTGTCTGGCATGTGCTTGAGTTCTTGTGTGTGTATTACAAGCTAGGGTGATACATATCTTGTTATCTTTGAGGCTCACGTAGCACTAGGACGTTACCAAAGGGTGTAAAATCACTCCAAATCACTCCAAATCACTCAGAATCACTCCCGAATCACTCCGACGCGCTCCCGAATCACTCAGGATCACTCCGGAATCACTCCGAATCACTCCGCACCCCGCCACAAATCACTCCAAATCACTCCACATCACTCCAAATCAGTCCAAAATCACTCCAAACCTGCTGGAGACATATACTTTGTTGATACGTTTTCTTACTTTGTGTCATGTGCTGACACAACAGCTGTTGTATTCGCGTTGCGTTGCGTTGATCCACTATCCTTCCCATGTAGGCTCGCAGGGTTAGTGCCCCCCCAAATATACAATGTTGTTATGTTTATCTTAGGCTGCGCGTAGCTCACATTACACCCGCATGCTCTAACCTGGGAGACTTTAACCCTGCAGGCCCTAACCTGACAGACCCTAGCCACGGCACGGCGCGACCTACTTGGTCACCTTCCATGGATCTGTGAGTGGTACCACCGAACAGGCCCCTAAAACATCCCTAGAACAGTGTGGCACTATGAGGAGGAGGAGGAGGAGGAAGAGGAGGAGGAGGAGGAGGAGGAGAGAGTCCGCACCGTGAGTCCGACATGACCCTGGGGAGACGACGAAGACGACGACGACGACGCCATCATACTTTCATCTTCCAGGCCAACGCTCAATCATTCTGGAAGATGAAAGTGCGATGGGAGCCGTGGGCCCATGGGAGCGACGACGACGATGACGACGATGACCAGGACGACGACGACGACGCCATCATACTTTCATCTTCCAGGCCAAAGCTCAATCATTCTGGAAGATGAAAGTATGATGGGAGCCGTGGGCCCATGGGAGCGACGACGGCGATAACGGCGATGTCCACAACGACGACGACGACGTCGACGACGACGACGACGACGACGCCATCATACTTTCATCTTCCAGGCCAAAGCTCAATCATTCTGGAAGTTGAAAGTCTGATGGGAGCCTTGGGCCCATAGGAGCGACGACGACGACGGCGACGACCAGGGCGACGACGACGACGACGGGGATTATGATGATGATGATGATGCTGATGATGATGATAATGATGATGATGATGATGATGATGATGATGTTGATGATGATGATGATCATGATCATGATGATGATGAGGATCATGAGGAGAAGTTCGTTGCATGCGGGGCTGCTTTCATGGAGGGCCCTGGGGTCCAGGGACTCACCTTCTACTGCAGGTAAATCGGTCAACAGGGGACGGTCCCTCTTTGCGTAATTACTGCAGCCATTTTGGCTCGCGCGGGCATGCCGCGCTAGAGGCCAGCCCGCGTGCACATCAGCACTGGTGCGGCTTCCTCCGCGAAGGCAGATCCTTCGCCATGTCGGACAGCGACGAGGGGATCATCGTGCAGCACCTTGCAGAGGATGATATCGCCGAGGGATTCGTCACTCTGTCCTGCCTTCTCTGCCACATGGACGGGGACGAGCGCGACTTCAGCAAGCACAAGAAGTTCGGCCTCACCCCTCTACACAAAGCATGCTTCAACGCGCTGCAAGCACTTGAGCGCACCCTGACCTCTCGCCCCGATCTTAAGAAGAAGGTGATGTCCCTCTTGGCCGCGGACCCAGAGAAGTTTCGGGCTATCGCGCTGGCGATGTTGAATAAGCATAAGCACGGCAGGAGACCGCACCAGCGTGATCACGTGATCGACTTCTGCGAGGAGCTGGTGGAGACGGACGGCCTGTTCACGAAGGAAGAGTTCGTCTACTTGCGCAAGCAGGCTTACGTCCAGTGGTTCAAAGTGAGGGAGGGCTTGTCGGACGAGGAGGCGTTGCAGGCATGGGATGATGACATCAATGACCCTGAGGTTGAGAAGAAGAAGAATCGGAAGGGGCAGACGACCGTGGCCGTCGAGAAGCCCGTCGTGGTCGAGCGCATCAAGGGCACGTCGCAGCAGACGAAGTACGCATCTAAAGTGGATAAGCCGTCTTCGAGCGCCTTGGGTCTCCGCGAGAAGCACGGCCAGGCTACATGTAAGTTCAGGCAGGGCGTTTCGGCAGGTGCGAGGGCGACGAGCTCGTCGGCGCCTGCGGCCTCACCACCAGCCTCAGCGCGGCCCCTCAGCGGGACGAAGGAGAAGCGACTGAGGAGCAAGAGCAGGAGCCAGAGCAGGCGGACCAGCGCCAGTAAGAGGAGCTGGGTGTCATCCATGCTGGAGGGCAAGCGCCAGCAGAGACCCAAGTCCAACTGCGACTCGGCCGACGACGACGACGACGAGGAGCTGCCAGAGGAGCCAGAGGGCGGCCTGGCCGCCACCGCCGAGACGGAGCCCGAGCCCTTCGTTGAGCTCAAGGGGAAGATGCCCATCTCTAAGTTCCTGTCCGCCAAGCAGAAGTTCGGAGTGCAGTTCAAGGAGAGGTTGTCGGCCATGGGCGTCTACAAGAGGGGTGACATGTTCAACGTTTCCGACAAGGCTTGGGCGAAAGTCCAATGTTGTGATTGCGACCTCGATGGCATCGACTACACGACGGTGAAGCAGGCGCTGACCAGCACCATCACGAGCTGCAAGAAGGAGTGCGACGACATCAAGAAGTACAACCAGAGGATGAACTTGGAGAAGTGCCAGGCCCAGGCGATCAAGAGCATCGAGACGCTCGAGGTCGCGCGGACAAACTTCGACGAGTGCGTGGCGGCCATGCAACACATCACGAGCGACATGCAGTCCGTCGCAGCCGAGGCCAGCCGCAAGAAGTATGCTGCCATCAATCGTGTCGCCAAGATGTTCGAGCAGCACATGACGGCTGAGCCCCTCGCCAAGGCTTTCGCGGCGTGCTTGCGCGACGCCGAGGACACCAGGGGGGGAGGAGGAGGAGCAGGAGGAGGAAGAAGAGGAGGAGGAGGAGGAGGAGGAGACGGAGGAGGGGGAGGAAGAGGGGGAGGAGGAGGAGGAGGAGGAGGAGGAGGAGGAGGATTAATGAGGAGGATGAGGAGGAGGAGGAGGAGGAGGAGGAGGAGGAGGGGGAGGAGGGGAGGAGGGAGAGGAGGAGGAGGAGGAGGAGGAAGGAGGAGGAGAGGAGGAGGATGAGGGTGGAGGAGGGAAGGAGGAGGGGGGAGGAGGAGGGAGGAGGAGGGGAGGAGGAAGGAGGAGGAGGAGGAGGAGGAGGGGGAGGAGGAGCCGCCCCAAGCCCCTACCAGCGAGGACACTTTGAAGGACAAGAGCAAAGCGCTCGAGTTCAAGGACTCCGAGTCTCTTGACCTTGGTTCTCCGGTGCGGACGAATGAGAAGATCGTCGGTTGCGTGCTCGTGGATATCATTCAAGTGACTTTGGATAAGACGGATGGCCTCGACATCGACAAGATCACGGAGGAGCTCGAACTCTGCGAGGCCGCCAAGAGCATGTTCATGAAGCCCTTCATTGTGGTCTTGACTCCCTACTCGTGGTCGTGGGACTTCAACAGCGTAGCGTTCCCAGGCGTCGCATTCTGTTCCATGGTGCTCGAAGGTAAAGTGTGCTGCCTGCTGGTGCCGACTGCGCTCTTGACCAACCATGGCATGACGTCGCTCAGCTCTTTCGACCAGTTCATGGCAGCCCTGTCGTGCGACAGCCGCAAGACCTTGCTCGAGCACGAGACCTCCCATCGTGCAGTCCGGGACGTCGGGGACATCATGTATGCCCCCTTCGGCTTCGTGCCGATCGTGTTCGGAGTTGGTGACAAGAACGAGAAGGAGCCCCCGAAGTCCGTGTTCGACCATCGCTGACGAGTCGCGGAAGGAGATCTTTCGCTACATCGAGGCCGGCCCCTCCAAGCAGTCGCACGTGAAGACGTGGCAGTCGGCCACTGGCCCGATGACTGAGTGGATGGCCACATTCGCGGCCTCGTCTTGAGTGCGGGGCGATCTCAAAACAAAGTGAGCCTCCTGTTAGTTATTGTTTCAGGTGATTGCAGCAATGCTATGAGGCGAACCTCGGAGACGACCGAGTTCTCAGAGATTTCTTGAGTGCGCAGGGGAAACATCAGTGGTTGAAATACAAATAACATGAGCACGCAGGGTTGAACAATCCCGGGTTCAAACATACACTAATCTGATAATCAACGTCTGAAAACGTCGGCATGATAACAATTGCGTTGAAACAAATCCAAAGAGGGAGGAAGGACGGAGGAGGGAGGAGGGAGGAGGGAGGAGGGAGGAGGACGGAGGGAGGAAGGAAGGAGGGAGCAGGGAGGAGGGAGGAGGAAGGAGGGAGGAGGGATGAGGGAGGGAGGAGGGAGGAGGGGGGAGGGAGGAGGCAAAGGACGGAGGAAGGATGAGGGAGGAGGGATGAGGGATGTCCGGGAAGGGCCTGCCCGTGACCCAGCAGGGCTCGAGTTGCCCGTTCTTCTTTGTTGGAGGCCTCCCTTCGGGCCTTCGGAGCTGCTGGCCATGGCGGTTCCTCAGAAGGTGGACCTGTTTGCTGGAGGGAACATTTATATGCCGACCCCGCAAGAATATGCAGCCCTCCGTGCCAAATGGGACCGTGAGCAGAAACGCCTCTCGATACGGCGCCTCCTGATCAATGTCATTGTTGTCGAGGACTCAGGCGAGGACGCCGAGAATGGCGACTACGCCAAGAACGACGGCGACACCACGAGCAAGCACCCCATCGACCTCTGGCTCCACCCCGACCCTGTTCCTGTTCCGACTTCGGAAAAAATCTAGATCTCGGATGGAGGTTTCGAGCCCCGTGGTGAAGCCCAGGCGCCGCGTGTTGCGGAAGGTGGCCTGCGGCCCAGGCGTGTGGATCCCGTGGATCAGGAAATCCAAGATGTGAGAGTGAGGCGTCTGCCATTTAGGATTCGTGCATGTGTCGATTGCTGCGTTGTGCGCCAGCATGTGGGATTAGTAACGCCCAGTGGGCTGGGCCTCTAGAGAAAATGCTTCACTTGGCTGCCATATCGGTGCCGTGTCGATGCATTGCGAAGTGGGGCATTGCCAGACACGCCCTTCGTTATCGCATCAATGGTCTCGGGGGTAGGAATGCAACGAGGGTGTGGTTCATCAGAGCAAGATTCAAGTGCCTTCGGCAATTCCCGCCGCCCTGCCAGCTCAGCACTCTGACCCCCACGCACATGGCATGTGTGTGGGGGTCAGCGCACGAAGATGACGGTAACGATCACGATGGTGATGATGAGAACGCTGATAATGATGATGATGATGATGATGATGATGATGATGATGCTGATGATGATGATGATGATGATGATGATGATGATGATGATCATGACGATGATCATGATGATGGTGATGGTGATGATGACGATGACGATCCGTTCGAGGCTCAAGGCGGCAACGCCGTCGCCTGCCCGCAGGTGGGCGAGCGAGCTCCGACGGCCCGCCAGGGCCGCGAGATAGTCTAGACGGGGCCCCAGGAAGGCCCCAGGAAGGCCACGAGTGCGCCCTGGAAACACCCCAGATGTTCACAACCTCCAGTGGTATCTCAAACACCCTCAGGCCCCTCCTTCCCCTGTCGGTGGAAGGCATTGCACTAGCTGGCCTCAGCGCGATATTTCACGTAGTAGAGCAGACCATGGCGTTTCGGATGGGCCGCTTGCGTATTGAGTCTAGTCTTCGTTATCATTGTCGATTGCAGTTCGGGATAATTTCGATCGAAATCTGGTCGGGCTGCACCCTGCTCGCGGGAAGTTAGTGGGGGTGGCACGCACTGCGTGACACGGAGGGTGCTCTGGGGAGTCGGAATGTCGCCGTAAGCGTGGGCATAACCTTATCATCGCGGTTGGCTTCCCAGGTGGGCGGTCAGCCCCATCTCGATCGTTTGTCATCACGCACATTCAGGCATTCACAGGGATTCAAATAATTGCTGGTACAACATCTTTCTAAAAGAGAGAAACCGAACAAAAACACTCCAGAATCATTGGGGGCGAGGCGGGAATCACTCAGAATCGCGTGGGCCCCCCCCCCAGGGCCCTCGGGGCCCCTCCTAACCCCGACTTGTCCGTGCGCGCGGACTTAACATGGCCCACGACGGTTGGTGCCTGGCCGATCACTGGGCCGACCACGCAACCCCGCGCCAAGATCCGATCGAAGCGCCCTGCTCGCGATGGCTACCTCGGATCGGTCACGCATGCAAGCGCGGACGATCGCGTGATCAAGCCGAACCGATCACGTGATCGGCGACTGCGTGCTCCCCCGACAAACTGCGGTCCGTGGTCGCCGATCGCGTGATCAACAGGTACTGAATCAGAGCGGCGTGCGATCGACGCGCCGCCGCCGTTGCCGTCACAACGGCGGCGGCGGCGACGGGCCGCGGACTCCTGCGAGGCGCGCCCCAGCTTCAGCGCGTACCCGTTCGGCAGCAGCATCGACTCCGCGGAGCTCTGCCTGGCTCACCAGAAGCGGGCTTCGGCCCGCGAGGGACGGAGACGGAGACGGAGACGGAGACGACGACGACGACGACGACGACGATAGCGACATGTGGCGGCGACTGACGACGACGGCGACGGACGACGGACGACGAAGACGACGACGACGGTGGCTGCGGCCGCGGCGGCGTCGCCCCGAAACGCGACGCCACACAGCTAGGACCGCCACCACCGCATCCTACAACCCGAAGCCAACAACGCTTCGATGCGCTCGCGTGTCAGCTGTTCAGTGGTCTTCAAAAGCCCACGGCACCGATGTCCGATGCTGCCCAACCCAAACTTGGCCAGGGCCATCCGGTGTCGCTCGATCTCCAGCCTCAGCGACGCGGCCCCATGCCACGCCGCTCGCATCCCCGCGCTCACACAATCATGCTGCCCCTGAAGTGCCGGCAAACACGAGGGGAGCCGTGGGCGTGGCCCTTCTCCCCAATTGCTCCCTGCGTGAAACGGGTCCTGGGTCGCCCCCAGGAGGCCCCCAGGAGTCACCCAAGCGGCCCCCAAGAGGCCCCGAGAGGCCTCAAGAGGCGCCCAATGCGCCCCAATAGGCTCTGCAGACTCCACCACAACGTCCCAAGAGGCCTCCAAGAGGCACCCAAGGCGCCCACAGAGGCAGCGAGGCGCCGCCATGAGGCCCCCAAGAGGCCCCACGCGGCGAGACCCCGAGAGATACCCTGAAAGGCTCCGAGGGGCATTCGAAAAGTCTCTCTGGCCCACGGGAGGCGCACTGAACACTCCACGTGGTGACGCTCCCCCGGCAAAGGGCCGCTCCCTCGGGCGTCGTTCCTGGATGGGCTGGTGGGAGTACAGTCGAGGCGCTGACCTAAGGAACCCTAAATAAGGAACGAGGCACCTTTTTTTCATAAGTTGCTCTTCGACTTCCCATCGAAAGCTTGAGGAGAACCTTAGGCAATGTGTGGAACAATTGAGGAACACCGAGCCCCTCCCCAACGAAAAAGGTTCCTTCTTCAGCGCCCCGACTGTAATGGGCCGGCGGGGATACTTTTTAGTCAGCGGCCGCGGGCGGACGCGCCGGCGGCGAGTCAGGTCAAAGCGGGCTACGCAGAGACGAATTCGGCAGAGGAAGCGCGGGAAAAATAGAGCGCTGGCGGGAGTACGCGAAACGTTCAGAGTTGCAGCATCGCGATAATCACGACAGGAGCCCTAGAGCCTATCTTGCTGCGGCATTGCATTGTTCGAGCCGGAACTCACAAGAGGTCGGATTTCCTAAAACAAGAGTTTGAAGAACTTGGTTGCCGCCTAGATACCGCAGCCCCGAGGCGGGGCAGAGAAAAAACTAGGTATCTTGAAACACAAGAAACGGAACCACGACGCCGCATGTAACACAACAAAGTTTCGTCTAGCCACTCAAAGCGCCACGAATCAGTGCGGTGGTGCTGGGCGGTCGTGTTGGGGGTGACGCTGCTGATGGTGGGCGGTTCTGCCTGGGGGTTGTGCTGCGGAGTTGTGCTGGGGGGTTGTGCTGAATGGTAGTGCTGGGGGGTGTGCTGAGAGGGTTGTGCTTGGGGGCTGTGCTGGGGACTTGTGCTGGGGAGTCGCGCTAGGAAAGTGCGCTTCGGGGTTGTGCTGAGGGTTCTGCTGGGGAGTGTGCTGGGGGTTGTGCCGGAGGGTTGTGCTGAGGGGTTGTGCTGGGGGGCTGTGCTTAGGGGTCGTGCTTGGGGGGTTGTGCTGAGGGGTTGTACTGGGGGGTTGTGCTGGAGGGTTGTGCTGGAGGGTTGTGCTGGGGGGTTGTGCTTGGAGCTTGTGCTGGGGGTCGCGCTAGGGGGTTGGGCTGGGGTGTTGTGCTAGGGGGTTGTGCTGAGGGGCTGTGAAGGGGGGTTGTGCTGGGGGGTTGTGCCGGGGGGGCCTGCTGGAAAATTGTGCTAGGGTGTTGTGCTGGGGAAGGTGCTGTACGGTGTGGTTGTGCTGGGGGGAGTCGCTGTGGGGGGGGGGTCGTGCTGGGTAGCTGTGCTGGGGGGGGGCGCAGGAGAGGTTATGCCAGCGGATTGTGATGGGGGGTTGTGCTGAGGGGTTGTGAAGGGGGGTTGTGCTGAAAGGTCGTGCAGGGGGGCAGTGCAGGGGGGTTGTGCAGGGGTGTTGTGCAGGGGTATGTGCTGGAGGGTTGTGCTGGGGGGTTGTGCTGGGGAGGTGTGCTGCGGTGTTGTGCTGGGGGGCTGTGCTGGGGGATTGGGGGGGTTGTTGGGGGGTTGTGCTGGGGGTTGTGTTGGGGTCTTGTGCGGGAGGGGTGTGCTGGGGGGCTGTGCTGGGGGGTTGTGCTTGAAGTGTGTGCTGGGGGGTCGTGCTCGGGGTTGTGCTGGGTTGTGCTGGGGGTTGTGCTGTGGGGGTGTGCTGGGGGCTGTGCTGGGGGGGGTGCTGGGGGTTGGGCTGGAGGTTGTGCTGAGAGGATTGTGCAGGGGAGTGCTGCTGCTGGTGGGATGTGCAGGGGTGGTTATGCCTGGGGGTTTTCCTGGGGGGCTGTGCTGGGGGGTTGTGCTGTGGGGTCGTGCTGGGGGGATGTGCTGTGGGGTGCTGGGGGGTTGTGCTGGGGACTCGGGGGTTCTGCTGGGGGTTGCGCTGGGGGTTGTGCTGGAGGGTTGTGCTGGGGGGTTGTGCGGTGGGGTTGTGCTGGGGGGTAGCTGGGGCGTTGTGCTGGGGGGGTTGTCCTGAGGGGCTGTGAAGGGGGGTCGTGCTGGTGGAGTGTGCAGGTGGGGGTTGCTGGGGGGCTCGTGCTGGGGGTTGTGCTGGGGGGTTGTGCTGGGGGGTTGTCCTGGGGGGTTGTGCTGGGGGGTTGTGCTGGGTGTGCTGGGAGCTTGTGCTGGGGGTTGTGTTCGAGGGTTGTGCTGGATGGATGTGCTGGGGAGGGTGCTGGGGGGTTGTACGGTGAGATTGTGCTGGGGTGGGTTGCTGGGGGGTTGTGCTGGGCGTTGTGCTGGGGTGTTGTCCTGAGGGTTGTGCTTGGGGTTTGTGCTGGGTCTGGAAGGGCTGTGCTGGAGAGTTGCCCTGGGGTTCTTTGTTGGTGGTTGTTTTGGGGAGTTGTGCTGGGGAGTTGTGCTGGGGGGTTGTGCTGGGGGAGGTTGCTGGGGGGTTGGGCTGGGGGGTTTTGCTGAGGGGTTGTGCTGGGGGGGTTGTGCCGGGGAGTTGTGTAGGGGGGGCTTTGCTGTGGGTTTGTGCTGGGAGCGGTGCTGAAGGGTGTGGTGGGGGGGTGTGCTGGGGGGTTGTGCTGTGGGATTGTGCTGGGGTGGGTTGCTGGGGGGGTGCGCCGGTGGGTTGTGTTGGGAGGTTGTGGGGTGTTGTGCTGGGGGGGGGGTGCTGGGGGGTTGTGCTGGGAAGTTGTGCTGGGCACCCGAGCAAGATCAGTCCGCATCGAATCGAGAAGCGGAAACGAATATTCAATCAATTCGTCGGACGGATCTGCATCGCCACGGAGCCGGAATCGGATCGGATCTGCCGCGCCAGGGCGCACAATAGCGTCATGCAGGCGTCGGGTCGAATCGGATCAAAGAGAAGTCAGAATCGCGTCCGATCGGGCCCGCTGGAATCGGTGTCGAATCGTATCGATCGGGTTGACACGGGCACAGAGAGAACTGCTGTGCAGCAAGTAAGTACACTGGGCGAGCGCGTCCCTAAAAGAGCGCGCAAGCGAAAGGGCGCTGCTCCCGCTCCTCCCCTCTTGCCAAGCGGCCATGGTTTAGCATGCCTTAATCCTCAATGAGGAAAGGCAAAGAACCAGGGTCTCGCCCTCCACCTCTCTCACTCGCTGGTGCGCCAGACCGCGCCTGCAAATCCTCAAAAACAACACCGGAACCATAACAGGGTTGCAACAACAAGTCGTCGGGGATATTGGCCACCTGACGCCGCACCACCACTGCCAGGGCTGCCCGCCGCCCGACCCCCCACCCACCCTGGCGGCGCCCGTGGGACTTGATGACGTTGATCTGGCCGACGGGGTACTTCGCCTACCAGCGCCGGGCGCCCAGCGCCCTCCTCGTCCTCCTCACCCTGTCAAGTTTTTCCTCCCCCTCCTCCATCTCATCCTCCTCGTACACCTCCTCCGCCCCCTCCTCTCTCTCTACCTCCGATTTCTCCTCCGCCTCCGATAGAAGCGCGTTTCTTTAGTTATTTTCGACGATAACGGGCGTCATAGGGGGGTGCGGGGGGTATAACGCAACGCCTACTCCCCCCCCGTGTGGCTCCGGCACCACAAGAGCCTGTTTTCCCAACCATCCTGTGGTGTTGGGTCCTCGTTTTGAAGAGACGTCGCCCCGCGTTCCTTCCTCCTCCTCCTTCCTCCTCCTCCCCTTCCTCCCCCCTCCTCCCCTCCCACACCCATTCTGGCACACCCCATCACACGTTTCGTGGCCCCATAGGGAGCTCCACCGAAGGCCCCAGTAGCTGCGCCCGCATGCGGTTCCACCCCCATTCTGGCACACCCCTCACACGTTTCGTGGCCCCATGGGGAGCTCCACCGAAGGCCCCAGTGGCTGCGCCCGCATGCGGTTCCACCCCCCATTCTGGCACACCCCTCACACGTTTCGTGGCCCCATAGGGAGCTCCACCGAAGGCCCCAGTGGCTGCGCCCGCATGCGGTTCCACCCCCCATTCTGGCACACCCCTCACACGTTTCGTGGCCCCATAGGGAGCTCCACCGAAGGCCCCAGTGGCTGCGCCCGCATGCGGTTCCACCCCCCATTCTGGCACACCCCCTCACACGCTTCGTGGCCCCATAGGGAGCTCCACCGAAGGCCCCAGTGGCTGCGCCCGCATGCGGTTCCACCCCCATTCTGGCACACCCCTCACACGTTTCGTGGCCCCATAGGGAGCTCCACCGAAGGCCCCAGTGGCTGCGCCCGCATGCGGTTCCACCCCCCATTCTGGCACACCCCTCACACGTTTCGTGGCCCCATAGGGAGCTCCACCGAAGGCCCCAGTGGCTGGCTGCGCCCGCATGCGGTTCCACCCCCCATTCTGGCACACCCCTCACACGTTTCGTGGCCCCATAGGGAGCTCCACCGAAGGCCCCAGTGGCTGCGCCCGCATGCGGTTCCACCCCCCATTCTGGCACACCCCTCACACGTTTCGTGGCCCCATAGGGAGCTCCACCGAAGGCCCCAGTGGCTGCGCCCGCATGCGGTTCCACCCCCCATTCTGGCACACCCCTCACACGTTTCGTGGCCCCATAGGGAGCTCCACCGAAGGCCCCAGTGGCTGCGCCCGCATGCGGTTCCACCCCCCATTCTGGCACACCCCTCACACGTTTCGTGGCCCCATAGGGAGCTCCACCGAAGGCCCCAGTGGCTGCGCCCGCATGCGGTTCCACCCCCCATTTCGGCACACCCCTCACACGCTTCGTGGGTGGCTCCATGGGGAGCTCCACCGAACGCCCCAGTGGCTGCGCTCGCATGTGGTTCCCCCCCCATTTCGGCACACCCCTCACACGGTTCGTGGCCCCATAGAAAGCTCCACCGAAGGCCCCAGTGGCTGCGCTCGCATGCGGTTCCACCCCCTTTTTCGGCACGCCCTTCACACGTCTCGTGGCCCCATGGGGAGCTCCACCGAACGCCGCAGTGGCTGCGCTCGCATGCGGTTCCACCCCCCATTTCGGCACACCCCTCACACGCTTCGTGGCTCCATAGGGAGCTCCACCGAAGGCCCCAGTGGCTGCGCTGGCATGCGGTTCCACACCCCATTCTGGCACACCCCTCGCACGTTTCGTGGCCCCATAGGGGGCTCCACCAAAGGTCCCAGTGGCACTGCCCGCTTGCGTCCGCCACCACCCAGCACAGCCCTTGTTCCCTGCGCTTCACCCACCCAGAACAGCGCTTCGTAGCCCTATAGGGAGCTCCACCAAAGGTCCCAGCGGCACCGCCCGCATGCGTCCGCCACCACCCTGCGCAGCCCTTGCTCCCTGCCTGCGTTTCACCCACCCAGTACAGCGTTTCGTGGCCCCATAGGGAGCTCCACCGAAGGTCCCAGTGGCACCGCTCGCATGCGTCCGCTACCACGCAGCACAGCCCTTGCTGACCGCGTCTCACCCACCCAGTACAGCGTTTCGTGGCCCCATAGGGAGCTCCACCGAAGGTCCCAGTGGCACCGCCCGCATGCGTCCGCCACCACCCAGCACAATTGCGGCATTCACAACTGCATATGGTTGGGTCCTTCGCCAGGCTAATTTCTTTATTTTGCGGGATAGCGCCCGTCATCGGCCCCGCCCCCCCCCCCAACATGACGTGAAGTTCTGCGCTGGTGGCGTCCACGAATGCCTAGGGATGACCGAGGCCAAGTAGGAGCAGCATGTCGGGGGCGATCTACCACACAGCGCCTGTGTACACCGTAATCCTCGCATGCACCACAGCGCGCGTGTACACCACAGCGCCTGCGTACACCGCAACAGCCGTGTGCACCGCAGCTTTGTGTACACCACAGTGCTTGCGTGCACCACAGCGCCAGTATACACCACAGTGAACGTGTACACTGCAACAACCATGTACACCTCCTCTTCCTCCTCCTCCTCCTCCTCCTACTCCTCCTCCTCCTCCTCCTCCTCCTCCCCGTCCTCCCCGTCCTTCCGTCCTCCCCCTCCTCCTCCTCCTCCTCCACCACCTCCTCCGCCTCCTCTACCTCCTCCTCCTCCTCGTCCTCCTCCTTCTCCTCCTCCTCGTCCTCCTCGCCCCCCTGTCGCGCGGGTCGGCGCTACAGCGCGCGTGCGCATCTCAGCGTGCACTGCAAAATTGTCTATTGAATCAGCCCACTAGGTTCTAGGACGGCCAATTCTGCTGGAGCGTCCGGGACGCAGAGCAGATAGGAGGAGCTAGGATGATGCGGGAGGACTCCGGAGGACTCGTAGATTCCAACGGCGTTCCTTGTTTTGTGGAACCCACAGGCGCTGCATTTGTTCATAAGGATTCGTTTCAACATTATATACGCAACAGTGGTGCTCTGTTGCACACGGTTTCTGTGGTGCACACAGGCGCCGAGGTGTACACAGGCGGTGTAGCGCACGCAGGCATTATGGTGTACACTGCTGCTGTGATGCGTACGGCGGATGTGGTGTACGAAAGCGCTGTGGTGTACACAACCGATGTGGTGCCCGCAGGCACTGCGATACACACTGGCGCTGTGTTGCACGCGGCTGCTGTGGTCGTATATCGGCGGTGTGGTGGACACATGCGCTGTGGCGCACGCAGGCAAAGTGGTGTACACAAGCGCTGTGGTGCGGATCGCCACCTACATATTGCTACCCGTCCTCGGTCATTCCTAGACATTCCCAGACGCTGCCAGCGCGAAACGTGACCTCCTCGCCCCCTCCCCAAATGACGGCCGTCATCGGCCCGGAATAACGAAACAGGCTCCAGCCGCTTCCGCGCGCACGACGACGATGAGCGACGAGCGACGAGCGAAGATCAACGAGCGACGACGACGACGACGACGACGACGACGACGACGACGACGACGACGACTGCGGACCAGACCCCTATGCGGATTCCAATAAAATCCTGATGCGCACGGCGGCAGTGCCCGGAGCGCACTGGAGGGGGCGGGGGGGGGGCGTTACGTCATAGGGAGGGGGCCGGGAGCTACAACCTCCGCTATGCCCCAAGCAAAATAGAAACACGTTCTACCTCCCCCTCCTCCTCATCCTCCTCCTCCTCTTCCTCCTCCTCCTCCTCATCCTTCTCCTCCTCCACCTCCTCCACCTCCTCCTCCGTCTCCTCCCTCTCCCACTCCCCCTTTTCCGCCTCATCCTTCCCGCATTCGTCGGAGGTGAAGGAGGGGGGGGGGCCCTTGGGAGGACTAAGCCCCGGAGCACCTGCCGGCAGGCCTGCTCAATTCTCGACGCGACCGCTGCCCACTCCACGGAAGTGGGCCCGTCGAGCTGGAGGAGGAGCAGAACCCCGGAGCAGGAGAAGAGGGATGCGACGCGGGGAATGACTGTGTGTACGCGCGCCGAAGCTCCGGCGCATCAACTGGGGGCGCACTCTCTCCATGAGCCGCGAGCCGAAACCTCGTCGCGCAGGAACGGATACTGGCGCGATCGGCAGCTGCGCGGAGCAAGACGTGTGGCGACGAAGGGCGCATTGCGATGCCAGCGCGGGGGTTCTGATTTCGATCCTCGGCCCCCGGGGAACGGAGAAGGGGACACGTATGATCTCAGCCAGGACGGCGAAAACCAGGACGAGGATACATTCAGGTAAGGACGAATCGAGAATCTCTGAGATCCGGCGGCTCCGGAGGATGCCTCGGGCGCCGCTGCCTTCTCAGACAGTTCCAGAACGCTCTCAGAGCATCCCAGAACGCTCTGAAACGGATTATCCTCGTCCTAGCCCCGGCCGGTCCATGTCGCATGCGGCCAGATACGCCTGGGATAACACGACGGATAGAAATCAATTGCGCGCCAACGATGAGCACGCTGGAGATAGCACGAGCACTTCGGAAGGGAGGTACAACGACTCCAGGATCTGGGCCTTGCCATCGAAGCCCATGAACTTCACGGCCTGCGTTCACAACACATCGATCACATGCAGCTCTGTCCAACACTCATGGAGATTATGATCGCAAAACTCCATGCCAATGCTCGTGCACTCTTAAACCCTGTCACCCTCGCTGTGAACACTCGTACCAATCATCCTTTCAATGGATTGTTCCCACCTTCCACTGCAGCGAATTTTCCACAATGCTGCATCGCAACGGTCGCTCAGCTCCTGCGCCGATGGCAGATGCTAGTAAGAAAGCAAAACAAACAGGTGCACACAGACCAGCGAAGTACCGGGTGGAGCGGAGGCAGGGTATATGTACATATACATATGTAGATAGGGAGAGGGGGTGAGAGGGAGAGATGGGCGTAGATATAGAATTTGGTCAGGCATGTCCCCCTGCAGGCCGCTTTAGGAAGAACGATAACAACAATCAACACATACGAAACACAAGAGTCCCAACTGGTCCAAACATCGCCCCCTGAACATTTCTGGACGGTTCTTGAGTATTCCTCCTGCAGAGGGACGGGCCCGACGTAGGCGCAGATGCAGAAAGCAACCATCACATCTCCGAGACCGCGCCGTGCCGCGGATGCCGGTGTGCCCGTGCGCGCGCGCCCGGCCCCGTGGCGCTTCTGCTCCACAACCGCCCCTCGCGGCAGCCGCCCAGCACTCCGCCGCCCCGGCGCCGCGCGGCCTCCTCGCCGCGCGGGCCTCGGGAGGCTCCGCTGCCCCGGATGCGCAGCACACAGCACGTGGCGCATCGACGCGGAGCTCAACACGCAGGCCGAAAACGCAGGTGAGACGCGGTGCGCTCGCCAAAACGCGGGCCAATACGGTGGGGGCGTTGACCCAAGGAACCCTAGACAAGGAACGAGGCCCCTGTGTCCCACAAGTTAAACTTCGATGTCCCATCGAAACAAGAAGGAAAACCTGGGGCAAGCTGTGAAACAGTCAAGGAACACGGAGCCCCTCCCCAACAAAAAGGGTTCCTTCTTCAGGGCCCCGACTGTAAGACGCGATGCGCTCGCCCAAACGCGGGCCAACACGCTGGGCCAGCACGCCGCCTGCTGACACGGACGTGCTGAGCACCGCACGTGCTGCGTTTCAGAACGGGCGCGCCGGGGCGGCCGAGCTCAGGAAGTGCTGCGGTCCCATTCCCCGGGACCAGGTGTGCCTCCCAGGAGCCGTGGTTCTGACGGCCCAGGGGCCAGACGAGGGCCCCCGGAGGCCGAAAGCTCCTCCAACCATCCCGTCGTGACCTTTTGTCCGCGACGCGAGCCACAACCCGGCGCATCCGATGCCGCTGCTCCCAGGACCTCTCCAGGGGTGCGTCCCGACGAGGGCTTCGGGGCGCATCCAGCCGTGACGACGAGTGCCTCCCTGGAGGCGCAACAAAAAGGCGAAAGCACAAGGATGGGCGGCAGTATGGGCACCTTTGCTGTCGGAGGTCCAGGCGAATTCTGGGAACGGCGCAGGAGAGACGCGGGCGCCGCCAGGGCGGGTCCACGTAGAGAGGGAGAGGGAAGCGGAGAGGAACGGAGAGGGAGAGGGAGAGGGAGAGGGAGAGAAGGGGAAAGCGGAGATGGAGAGGGAGAGGAAGAGGGATAGAGACAGAGAGAGAGAGAGACAAACAAAACAGAGACATGTGTGTACATCAATGTATATATATGTATATATATACATATATATATGTTGCTGGAGATAATACACATAGAAGGAGACAGAGAGAGAGAGAAAGCAAACACCTAAAACAAACAAATTGGGAGGAAGAGAAAGAGAGGATGAGAGAGAAAGAAAGAGGGAACAACAGATGGAGAGGGAGGGAAAGAGAACGAGAGAAAACAAAAAAACGAGTGGAAGAGAGAGAGAGAGAGCAAAGAGAGAGAGAGAGAGAGAGCGAGAAGGAGAGAGCGAGAGGGAGAGAGAGAGAGGGAGAGAGAGGGAGAGGGAGGGATGGCGCGAGCGGCGAGCGGGTGAGCGCCGCCCACCGCCGGCCCCTGGCGGCCCCTGCCCCCCCCAGGGGGCCCTGACGGCGTCGACAACGATCCTCGAGAAGACGTGCTCGTCGGAGCCCCCGACGAATTTCGAGGACAAGGAGGTGCGCGCGATCTGGCTCAGGCTGTCCTGCGGGGGCCGCAGCACGACCGAAGGCCCGGGGGGGCCGCGAGAGGGACGTGCGAATGCGTCGAGAGGGAGTGCAGAGGAGGAGGAGGAGGAGGAGGAGGAGGAGGAGGAGGAGGAGGAGGAGGAGGGAGGAGGAGGAGGAGGAGGAGGGGGAACAAACAGAGGCTTGTACTCTTGTCGAGAGGGGGTGCCGAGCTCGGTGCGAGCCCTGCGCTGCGAACGCGCTGCCTCGCGAGGCCGCGCACGGCAACAGAGGCGCGCAATTTTGCGGACTGAGCGGTTGCCTCTCCGGGCGGGTACTCCAGATTTCGTAATAAAGGGAGGGGGGTCTCATTTCGGGGGGGGTCTCTTCCAATCTATCTTGGAGGGCCTGGGGGGGTCTGGGGACGATGTTTTGGAGGGTTCTCCCACGGGGGGGGGTCTGAAATGGCTTGTCTTGGAGGGTCCAGACCCCCTCCCTTTTATTACGAAGTCTGGAGTAGACGATGCGAACCCTGTCGGCTGGGCGTTGTGCCCAGCCGAAACAAGGTTCGCCCTGTTCACTGTTAACTGATAACTCTGCTCGAACCCTCGTTCGGTAGGTGGGTGCCGCTCCGCGAGATTCTGGGCTATCAGATACTCCGAACACTCTGACATTATCCTCGTCTTCCGCCTCCGCCTCCGCCTCTGCCTCCGCCTTCGCCTCCTCCTCCTCCTGTTCCTCCGCCTCCTCCTCCTCCTACTCCTCCTCGTTCTCCTGCTCCTACTCCTACTCCTACTCCTACTCTTCCTCCTCCTCCTCACCATCCTCCTCCTCCTTCTCTGTGTCCTCCTCCTCCTCCTCCTCCTCTTCCTCCTCCTCTTCATCTTCTTCCTCATCCTCCTTCTCCTCGTCCACGGCACATTGGAGGTCTTGGAACACGTCTGCCAAGTGAGATAAGCCTTGATCTTGCGGACATCGATGTTGCCGAGCCCGAAATCTGCGGCCAGGAAAAACACCTCATCCCAAAACTCGGAAAGGACAACACGAGAGCGGTCCGCGTCGGGACCCTGATTCCAAGCATCACTGGCCGCCTGGCAGTCGTGTATATGGCAAGGGAACCAGGGGCAGCAAGACGGATGGCCATGAGAAGAGCAGAGACCTCCCCCCCTCCGCTGTGTTGGAAAGGGGGTGGGGGAGGGGCCCATAAACAATCCCGACAGAGCCGCCAACGGCACGCATGCCAACTACTGCCCAGCCCGCCCTGGCCGAAACGGGGGGGCTGTCCTGAGGACGAGGCCCGACCCATCCGCGCAGAGACGAGGGCCAGACAGGTCAGAGGCAGGGCGACGGTGCCAGGAAGCCGCAACGGGCCATGGACAACGAGGGCCAGTCGAACCCCAGGGTCTGGAACCAGGGCTCCGGTACGCAAGAGGTCGCACTCAACCATGCACACACCGTCGCGCACGACACAGTCCCCGTCCAGATCACGACGGAGCAGGTGTAAACCAGGGCACTCGTAGAGCCTGCGCTACGGGGTACCTTCAGCCTGCACACGCGCCAAGCACAAAGGGGTGAGGACCTTTACCCCGCAGAAGAAGATGGCGGCCTCTGGGTTGTCACCTTTTCGGAAGCCCTGGGGCTCCTCTCTGGTGACAGCGATCAGCGGCGGCCTGGGAACGCCGTCGGGGGCAGGGATGGCCGCGCGCCGCAACAGCTGGCGATACGTGGCCTGCGCAACGAAGGCTTCGACGGAGTGGCGGCCCAAGGAGGAGAGGTCGAGCGAGATCCCGCCCCCGATGCCCCCCTTATCACACCCTTCCATCCCCAACCGAGACGCTGCAACATGGCCAGGGCAACGCCAGCAGGGCCGAGGATGGTCGACCACTTGCCAGTACCTCCACTGGTTCGGTAGTGATCCCAGCACCTGTCCAGCTCGGAGCAGGGCAGCCAGTTCTGGGCGACGGCCTGGTGCCACGCGCCTGGAGGGAGGGGGTTGGCCTGGCCCGTGGGCCCAACTTGAGGCCCTTGTGCAGGAGAAGTCGGCCGGCCCTGCTGCGACCCCGAACGGGCCCACAAGCAACACTGCCGGAACCAGCTCTGAGGGACGCCAGCCGGGCGGGGGCCATGCCCGTGACCGTGGCGCCGTAGATGCAGCTGGGGCCCCACCTGCCTTGAGGGTCCTGTGCATGCCAGAGAAGGACGACTTAATTACCAGCCTCGAACGTATCCCTATCCCTAAGATTGACACGCCAAAAGGCGATGACAATCTTAGGGATTCGCTCTCAAAACATGAGGGAATCCCTAAGATTGACATCGTGATGAGGAGGTGCCCAGCATAGGGATAGGCATATGTTCCAGGCTGGTAACGTAAGGCCTCTGAACCTGTAGAGCCTGGGAAGGAGAGGCTTCCACCTACGAGTCTGGACCTTGGCAGAACGCCTGCGGGCCCCGGCGAAGTCCACCCCGAGGTTCTTCGTAGCCCCAGGGCCCTTGAAGCCACAGGCCCTGAAGGCCATGCGGATGACCTGGACGACCTGGGCCGACGAGCCCGCGACGATCCCCTTGGTGGCTGAGATGGTGAACCCCAAGAGCTCCAAGTGACGTGTCTCCTCTTGCCCACGGCCCCAACAGTAATGTCGTCGACAACACTGTAGAGGGAGATGCTGGGGCACAGGCGCGAAGCGTCGTCCAACGCATCGAACAAGAAGCGAAAGAGCAGGGAGCGCATGGATCCCTTGGTCCACGTACACATCTGCCGACACACGCATGTCAAAATGCAGCGAGCGCCTGCAACGATAAAATTGAAACAAGAATCCGATGCGGCGTGCTCGAAGCCCGGGTTTCACTCCTGACCTGGTCAGCAAAGAATGAGGCACCTTTCCATAGCACTCGGTCGTGTCCACCAGGGCATGACCAGACGGATGGTTGCACATGCGAGCATGCTCGAGACGAACCGACTGCTACCATATAGCCCGATAACACGATTGACATTTGGTCCCGCATGTAAACGACCGGGGATGCTCCAACTCCCGGTTCTTAGCTTCGACTCTGGACAACCGACCGAATAAACGAGTGCTGCCTGGGAGAACTAGGACGCCTGTCTTTGCTTTCCTTTTGAGATCATGGCTAGCAGGCTGTGCTTCAAAGCAGGGGGATGTGACCTAGGCGCTCCGTGTGGTACCAGAGTCTGGCCAAGCACTGCAAGCCCTCGTCCGAGAGCAACCAAAATTCACGAGGCCGAGTGCGACTGGCACCGACTGCAGCGCGCGCCTTGAAGGTTCTGGCAACAGCACGCATGTCGGCAGGAGAGGCCTGGGGGCGAGGAGTGTGAGGTACTGGAAGGGGTCAGGCAGGTCCGAAACATGCGGCGCAAGGGTCCAAACATTCCTCCACTCCTCGTCAAGGTTGATCATGTGCTGCTCTAGGCTGGGTGGGAGGCCGCCCTTGGGGTTCTCGGGGACGAGCCCACACGGTTTCTTAGCAAAGCGGTGGGTGAGACCTCTTCCACCTCCGAAAGACTTGGCTGCCCAAGTCCGCCACTGCTTGGCTCTCTTGGTGCGGAACCTGCGCTCGAACAGTTCGGCCTGACGCTTCGCCACGGCCGAAAACTGGAGCAGAGTCTGAATTTCTACGCTGGACAAGTGGAAGTTTGCATGCAAGTGCTTCCACTTTGGGTTCGAGGCCAACCTGGTGCCCAACGAGAGGATCTCTGGGTGGTCCTTGGGGTGGCCCTTGTGCAGAAGGAAGGTAAGCTCCAAAAAACAGGCCGCCACCTTCCTCCACCCACGGCCGTCAGGGCACGAAACGAGGTAATCGCCTTCAGAAGTCCTGACTGCAGAAACTGAACGGAGCTTCAGGCACGAGCCGCGCCTCGAGCACGTTGAATCCTTGGCCTTGGTTCTTGAGCTCCGCTTCGAACAGCTTGCAGGACTCCCAATAAGCCGGTTCGAGATCTTGCGTGGTCACCACAGGCCCGTCCAGATGTTGCGGCACGGGGCCCACGAAGGCGCAGCAGGGAAAGGTCCCAGAGGGTGAAGGGCTTGGGCCGTTGCAGAACCTTGACCTTGGCCTCCACTGGGTTACCTTCGAGCTCCAGAATCACAGCGGAATGAGGCGAGGTGGTGCTAGCATCGTTGCGGACAACGCGCCTCATGGAAACCTTAAGACCGCCTCCTCCTCCTGCGCCTCCTCCTCCTCCACCCCCACCCCCTCCTCATTGTTTGATTCCTCCTCCTCCCCCTCCTCCTGCTCCTCCTCTTCCTCCTCCTCCTCCTCCCCCTCCTTTTCGTCCTCGTTGCCCTTTTTGTCCTCATGTTTCTCCTCCTCCTCCTCCTCGTCCTCCTCCTCCTTCTCCTCCTCCTCGTCCTCCTCCTCCTCCTCCTCCTCCTCCTCCTCCTCCTCCTGCTCCTCCTCCTCCTCCTACTCTTCCTCCTCTTCCTCCTCCTCCTCCTTTCCTCCCCCTCGTCCTCACCCGTCGCGGCCACCAGAAGCATTTCCCAGCGACCCCCCACCCCACCCCCGCCCTCCGCACGCACGGCCCCCCCGAGGACCCCAGGGGCCCCCTGACGGCCCATAACAACCCCAGGACTGCCTTCCAGACACCCTGGGCCCGCCCAGATTCCTCATGCGGTCAGGAAGCACCGAACAATGGTCCAGCAGGGGCCCTTAGCAGCTCCAGAGCATACACCATGGTTCTCTCCCTCCTCCTCCTCCTCCTCCTCCTCCTCGTCCTTCCCCTCCTCCTCCTCCTCCTCCTCCTCCTCTCCCGTCCTCCTCCGTCCCCTCCTCCTCCTCCTCGTCCTCCTCCTCCTCTTCCTCCTCCTGTGCTGTTCCTCCCTCCTCCCTCCTTCTCCTTCCTTCCTCCCCTCCTCCTCCTCCCCCTCTCCTCCTCCTCCTGCTCCCCCTCCTCCTGCGCTTTCTCTTAATATTCCAATTATCCCTCCTCCTCCTCCTCCCCATCCTCCTCGTCCTCCTCCTCCTGCTTTTGTTCATCCTCCTTTTTCTCCTCCTCATTATCCCCCTGCGAATGTACATATGC